TACACCTCGGTACAACGAGATTTTGCCTGCGACCGAATGTTTCTCTCATTTGGTCGACCGGACCAAATAAAACTTCTTAATATGGATTATATATAGCCTACTTATTAGAAATAAAAGAGGTCATTTTAATATTATTCTTATTATTATTGGTTGAAGTTACAAATCATATGTAAATATTTCTAATATAGAAAATTTTTAATATTTAAAAAATATTTAGTTGATCTGCACATGATGACTTTAGTACTAGGAAAGGAAAGAGATGAAGCTGAATGGAGCAAGCTATTTATTGCTGCAGGTTTCAGTGGCTATAAGATAACTCCCTCCATTGGTTTAAGATCTATTATTGAAGTTTATCCTTAATTAATTAACATTTCATCCCAAACATTATTATTATTGTGACTCTTGCTATGATCGTTTGGATTTTTCATTTCTCTTGATTTTAGTTTGGAGCTAATAATGTTGGTAATGTCAACATAGGGTTATGGTTAAAATTATATATTTTTTTTCTTTTGTGTGTGCGCGTGTGATGTAAGCAAGCAAGTCTTGTACTTTCTTGCACACGTGGCACCTATCTTGCCACATCAGCTTAGTTATCCTTTTGTATCTTCTCCTATATATATAGATGTTATTACAATGGAATAAGATATACAAGACTACTATTATGTCTTTTACCTTTCTATGTTCTACTGCTTGCTACGTCTACATTTGAGAGAGAGAGAGAGAATGTACTGTATGAGGGTTATAATGACCTGAATGTCCTCACAAATTTATTATAATTTCAAATATTTTGAGCCACAATGATTTATGTAATATATATATATATATATATATATATAAGATATACAATATTACTATTCTATCGTTTACCTTTCTCTATTCTATTGCTTGCTACGTCATCTACATGGTATCAGAGAAGTGGTGATCCTTCTTCCCGCCCTTCCCTCCCATCTTCTTCTTCATTGTTTCGTTCTTTCCTTATGGACAACTCCTCGGCAACATCATCTTTGAATCAATCGGACAACGTCGCCTCCGCTCTGTTCAACCCACTGTCTTCGATCCCTTCCTCACTAAAATTTGAAATTTCTCGTACCTTGAGTTTCAGCGTCCTCTTCAGTCCCCTCTTGTTGAGTTTTATTCTCTTTCTTAATTGTTGTTACTGAAATATCTTTCTTGTTCATTCGCACGACCTCGTCATCGTCCGTCCACGATCTCTTCCATGGTAGCTTTTATTATCGCTTTTGAAGCTTTCTTCTTTATTGGCTGATTTGAAATCTAGCTTCAAGAGTTGTTCGGTAATCCCTTCATTCATCTTCTTTCTTTCTTCATAAACTTGCAATGAACCCAAGAGTTCCTCTATTGTCATCTCCTGTAGATCTTTTGTCTCATCGATGATAGTAGTGAAACCATCAAATCTTAATTCTTGTTGCGTCCAGGAATATTCGCGACGATAGATAAAAATAAAGTTTAGCGTCTTAGCATTGTACGAAGATCCAGCACGCAAGCAGAAAGAGAGATTAAGACACCCGATTTTTTTACGTGGAAAACCCGAAGAGGGAAAAATCACGGGGCCTCGCTCAGGTGAAAAGATTCCACTAAAATTGAGTGAATTACAAGGGTTGACCCATCCCTCGATTTAGAGGTGGTCAGATTACAGTAATTTGAAGAGATAGTCAAAGGATCGATGACGGTCGGATGAAAATCCGACGGGTTTTGTGCAGAAGTTTGGCTGACAATGAACGATTCGATAAAGGTCTGATGGTGAATGGCGGCCGGGAAGTGGCCCGGCGATGGCCGGGGTGAAGTCCAACGGCGGTCGACGGCCGCACGGTGGTTCGGCGATGGACGGCGGTCGGGCGGGTCGTACGGATGTCCGGCAGGTGGCGGCCGGGCGGTAGTCCGACGAAGGTTGGGCTGAAGTCTGGTAGGCGGCGACCGGGCGATGGTCTAGCGACGGGCGGCAGCCGAGCGGTAGTCGGTGGTCCGGCAGCGGTCGGCAGCTGGGCGGTGGTCCAACGAAGGTCAGGTTGAAGTCCGGCGGCAGTAGGCGGCCAGGCTGAAGTCCGGCGACAGCCTGCGACAAGAGGTACTAGTTGGAGAACTTGCATCAAAGAATTCTAGAAAAAAAAAACATTTCATCAGATGAGAGGGATTCCTGACATTCCATGTAGAGTTACGTTGGGGCAGTCAGAGAATAAATGATAAATATTTTTAACATCCGCATCACGGAGGAAGGCAATTGCCAATAGGTATGACAATTATAATCACTTTAAAAACCATTGAGACATGTTCTCCAAGTAAAGATAAAAATCTCAAGGGAATAAAAATTTGTTGGTGCTTCTAGCGCTGGATCTAGCATATAAAAAGACAACTTTGCATTATGATTTAAAATAATGGCTTCAAGCAAAGAGTTGACAGGGAGATCACAAACAATAATAACAGTCTCACCAAATCTCGCTAATTAAAAACATCCATCCACCAAAGGGTCACAGAGAAGTGATCGATAGTTGCTCTCCATTTTCAACAATGTTTTCAAGTTTGGCTGGAGAAGAAAGCAGCTATGGTGTTGAGTTTCTTCTAGTATGGGTAACAAGAATTCCATCAACATGTCAATAAACTTTTTATTTGAATGCAACATTAAGATCAGTGGCACAATTCTAGGGGTGTCAATATTGGACACGAGAAAACCCGACGCGAAAATTTCGGGCTGGGGTCAACCCGAACCCAAAACGGGTCGGTTTCGGGTCTTGATTTTTGACCCATTTCAAATTTCGGGTCTGGTTCAGGTTGACCTGGAAACCAGAGAATGACCCGGTTTTGACCCGGGTCGGCGTATTTACAGGATTTGGGCGAAAAAGAAGCGCACGAAATGGAGAAAATTCTTCATAGCGAGCGAACTCCCATCGTTGCTTCCGATCAAAATGTTGTAACTTCCAATTCGATTGGAAGGGAACGTTGTCCAAGTAGAGAAGTCGAACAACAACCAGCCATCGACCTTTGGTTCTTCACAGCGAGCGAACTATTGTCGTTGCTTCCGATCAAAATGTTGTAACTTCCGATTCGATTGGAAGGGAAGGTCGTCCAATCCAAGGAGAGAAGTCCAACATCAACCGAGCAATGAGCCAACGACCTTCGGTCCTTCACGGCGAGCGAACTACCATCGTTGTTTCCTATAAAAATGTTGCAACTTCCGATCCGATTGCAAGGGAACTTCGTTGTCGTTCAAGGAGAGAAGTTCCGATCGGACCGATCTTCGGTCGTTCCTTTGGTCCTTCACAGCGAGCCCGTCGTTGCTTCCGATCAAAATGTTGTAGCTTTCGAACGTCGTCCAAGGAGCGAAGTCGAATGGCTACAAAGACGGAAGAACGCACGAAACGGAGAAAGTTACCTTCCAGATACTATGTGGGTAGGGTTCGGATTAACCCGAACCAAAAGCGGGTTGAGTTTGGGTCTGAAAATTTGACCCGTTTGAAAAAATGGGTCGGATTGACCCGAATACAGCCGGATCAGTGTCGGCTTCGACCTGAACCCGACTCATGATCCAAAATTGACACCTCTACACAATTCAAGCCCAATCCACTATAAGCTTCATGTCTAGTAACTAAATTCCAAGAGAGGATTTGTAGTCTGTTATGTGACTATCGATCTTCTTAATATCAACTGGTAAGATAGTTGCTTAACATAAGAAAGCTCATATGAGTTGTAGGCGATCGATAAAGGATGAGAGTTTAACTTTCCATACTATAACTTCTGATCATTTAGGCTTCGTTTGGGATAGCTTTTTATTGCATCTTAAAGCAGTTTTTTAGAACAAAAATAAAAAATTATGTACTTAAAGCTGCTTTAAGAAGCTGTAAAAAAGCCGTCCCAAACGAAACCTTAATTTATAAAATAGTACTTCACAGCCTTTCATCTTCATTTTCGATTTAAAAAAAAGTCTTGCAACATTGTCTTAGATCAGAGATATCCACTAGAGGCTGACGTTGAAATATTAGCATGGGGAAGAAATTAATAACTTGTACTGGACGCTAAGGCTCATGGAGAAGTAGATTTCATAAACAAAGCAACATCTTCTACCAACCTAACTAAGCAATTGCCAACCTAGCTTTCATTAATCATCAACATCACCAAATCAGTTCTATCATCGAATTCCTTAACGCATCAGGCTTGGTATGCCAACAAATCCGTCATCTAACAATCTGAATAAGAAATTGCCAACCTAGCTTTCATTATCACCATCATTGAAAGCTGCATAAGGCTTGTTAGGGCTCAGCAAGACAGAGGCACAGAACTATACCACCCAGTTTGATTAGATGAAGTTGTGAGTTGAGGAATACTACAACAACAACAACATCCAGCCTTAGTCCCACTACGTGAGGTCGGGTACCTGAATCATTTTTCTCCATCTAAATCTAATAAGGAAAGATCATTTCTAATATGATTTTAACCAAGTCTTTTTAGGTCTACCGCTATCTTAACATATGTCAAATCTAATAAATCTACTTTCTAACTGGGTCATCGGCAGATCGCTGTTTTATGTGACCAAACTATCTAAGGCTACTTTCTCTAATCTTATCTTCCTCTAGAGCTACTCCAACCGTTTCACGAAAATAAGTTATCAGCCTAATCGAATCCGACTTGATTGTCACATATGAGTCGAAGTTAGGCGCAAGTGAATATATCAAATAATTGCTTATTGCATTTACGATATGTTCAGTCCAATTGAATAAGCACAGCTTAAATGAAGCCTCCCTCAACTTATATATGGTTAAGAACCTTTCACAAGCTCCTATATCTGTCTAATTGAGATAGCCGAGCAACATATTATTCCTTGCAATGAGCTCCTAGAACTATGCCTGTTTCAGGAATTTGATCAAACGGCTGGCAGGTGAATGCAACAACGGCCATTTTGGAGCCCATAGATGATAACTTTTGTTTGATATCTATGACTCTAGGCTGTTAGTTTAAAGAAGGAAAGCCCAACAAAACCAGTAATGAAAACTACTTAACTTTCATAAATGTTAAATCCTTGCAGTCTAAAATTGGTTTTAGATACCTGCTCTCCAATCATGAGCTCATTCAAATATCTTCTGCTATTTGTTACACATAAAATATAATTAATTACATTAGGTAATGCGAGAAAAATATCTCAATCTTTAGCATCTTTATATTTGAATTTGAATTTGCATCGTAAAATCGCATTATCTTACTCTGACGATCATGGAGACAGTTGTGAGCATCGATGCTCCCGACGCTGTGATTCCAGACACCTTAGAAGCCCAAGCGATTCTATGGAATAAAACCTTTAGTTTCGTAAAATCCATGTCCCTAAAATGCGCCGCCGAACTCCGCATCCCCGACGCCATCCTGTGCCATGGCACGCCGACAACCATCTCAGACCTCATTTCCTCTCTCTCCATCCCCGAAGCAAAATCCCGCCACCTCCGCACATTGATGCGCATCCTGTCCCAAGACGGCATATTCAAATCCCAAATCACCCTATCCGGCGAAGAAACCTTCGACCTCACTCCTGTTTCACGCCTCCTCACCACCACCTCCGTCTCCCAACGACGTCTCAATTACACCCCCTTCATCCTCACGCAGGTCGAAAACCACATCATAAATTCGTACCATCAACTCTCCCACTGGTTCCATAGGCCGGACGTAACCATAACGCCGTTCGAGATGGCACACGGTAAAACGTTATGGGAGCTCGCGGGGAAGCTGCCAGAGTTCAACGATTCTTTTAATAAGGGGATGGCTTGCGACTCCGCGTTTGTTGCAGATGTTATAAAGAATATCGGCGGGGAAGTTTTTCGTGGGATTGGGACGTTGGTGGACGTCGGAGGTGGAACCGGCTTGATGGCAGCTGCGTTGGTGGAGGCTTTTCCGGGGTTGCAGTGCACTGTTTTTGATCTTCCACATGTCATCGACACGGCAGAGAAGACAGAGGGGATTCAGTTCGCCGCCGGTGACATGTTCGTGGAGATCCCAGCTGCTCATGCTGCTCTGCTTAAGGTTAGGAGGAATTAATATGGATTATATATAGCCTACTTATTAGAAATCAAAGAGGTCATTATTAATATTATTCTTATTATTATTGGTTGAAGTTACAAATCATATCTAAATATTTCTAATATAGAAAATTTTCAATATTTAAAAAATATTTAGTTTTTAAATAACACTACAGAAAAATCCGTCATTACCAGCGGCTTTTTCTAGGAAAATCGGGCAAATTTCCTGCTGTGTGATTCGAAGTGAGTATGCTTCAAAGCCCCAAACAGTTTGCTCTAAGGGCAAAAGTATTATAAGTGTCATATTTTTTATTTTAAAAAAAAGCAGCCGAAAAGGCAAGGGCGTCGGAAACGCCGCCAGAAAACCTGTAAAAAAAAAAAAGCCAGTCATATTTCCTCATAAACAGCAGAAAAGCCACAGAAAAAATCTAGTATTGTCCGATATTTCTGTAGTGTAATTTTACTTATGGATGCATATAATTTGATCAAGTGATGAGGTTTTTGATATCTATATAGTGGATATTGCATGATTGGAATGATGAAGCGTGCATCAAGATACTCGAACGTTGCAAGGAAGCGATTCCATCCAAAGAAAATGGTGGAAAAGTGATTATAATCGATATGGTAGTTGGTGTGGGCGTCAACGCTCAAATTGCACTGGAGACGCAGCTTTTACTTGATTTACACATGATGACTTTATTTGGTGGAAAGGAAAGAAATGAAACTGAATGGAGCAAGCTATTTATTGCTGCAGGTTTCAGTGGCTATAAGATAACAGCCTCCATTGTTTTAAGATCTATTATTGAAGTTTATCCTTAATTAATTAGCATTTGATCCCAAGCATTATTATTATTGTGACTCTTGCTACGATTGTTTGGATTTTTCATTTCTCTTGATTTTAGTTTGGAGCTAATAATGTTGGTAATGTCAACATGAAGTTATGGTTAAAATTATAATTTTTTTCTTTTGTGTGTGTGTGTGCGCATGATGTAAGCAAGCAAGTCTCGTACTTTATTGCACACGTGGCACCTATCTTGCCACATCAGCTTAGTTATCCTTTTGTATCTTCTCCTATATATAGATGTTATTACAATGGAATAAGATATACAAGACTACTATTATGTCTTTTACCTTTCTCTGTTCTACTACTTGCTACGTCTACATTTGAGAGAGAGAGAGAGAGAGAGAGAGAGAGAGAGAGAATGTATTGTATGAGGGTTATAATGAACTGAATGTCCTCACAAATTTATTATAATTTCAAATATTTTGAGCCACAATGATTTATGTAATCAACAGATCGAGTCCTACATGGGGTCCTGGTTGGGTACTCATTGGGTACCCACGCTCTAAGCTGGCGGGCTTTGCCCACCCACGCCCACCTATGGTGACTTTCGGGATGTCATACCCACCCACACCCACCCATTTTCCACACTTCTTGAATGCAGTTTGTCACGGATTAATGGCCTTGAGGTTTTTATCCCTTTTCTCTAACTGCAAACTTTCAAGCCACATAAAAATTTATCATGGTCAAGACGCGGTTTAGTGTTGCGCACTACATAGTAAGGATTACTGTAATATACTGCATGCATATGATGATTAGTAATGTAAATCGGTTTGTCCTCTGATGTTGAGTACCCACCCATTGGCCACAACATGCATATGTTTGATTACCATCGGTATGGGTGGGTACGTGGGTGGACGTGGATATAGATACGCAATGCAGGGCTCTGGTAATCAAACAAAAATCAGGTAAAATTAATAAATGTATGCTTTTCAAACAATCTAACATAAATGCTTCAAAATAGTAACACGTAATTTAGAAGTGTTTCCCAAATTTTTCTCGTTCGAGCATCTTTCCAGCCCACCAGTCGATTGTCGGATACCCTTATATGCACATAGGTAGCTTACTATAAGGCCCTCGCTCGGCTCGCACTTGTCTATGATTTCCAGCTAGTGATGTTCATCTCATTCGCAACATCACTCGCACATTCTTACTCATCCTCCGTTCCTTTGATTCCTAAGATCGTGTGGATGGGTTGCTCGAGCCCTCACATCAACGATAGTAAGTAATATTGTGCGCTTCACGAGCAAGTTTTCCTCATCTTTGCTGTGTGAGGTGGTACTCCTACATTATCCCAATCTCATGCCTTGTCTGGTCAGTCGACCCTCTCGAGTGGTGTGGTGATAAGCTCAAAATTATAATAATATATAGAGGTGTTAATATTTGACACGACTCGAAAATTTCGGATTCAAGTCGACTCGTTCAAAAATGGGCCGGGTTCGGATCAACTTGAAAGCAACCCAGGTCCCCATCCCGCACTGACATGAAAGCCCCAGGCGGACCGCCCCCACCCCTGCGCCCCGCACTCGCACCCTGCTCGTACCTGATGGTTAGGACAGGTCAGGTCCCGGTCTGAATTTCTAACCCGTTTATCTAATTGCGTCGAGTTCGGTTCAGAGCAATTAAAGGCCGGTCAATTTTGAATTGGACTCGAACCCGAGCTGCAAACCCAATTTGACGGCAAATTATTGGGTCAGGTGACCGGAGGCGAAATATAAGTTCGGACATCCAATAAAAATTTGCCGCGTCACCTTGCGCTTTTTGACTTGCGCTTTAGTTGCGCTTTGGTTGCGCTTTAGTTCCGATTTTTGACTTGCGCTTTAGTTGCACTTTACCTACGCTTTAGTTGCACTTTAGTTGCGCTTTACTTGCGCTAATTTTAAAATAATATTTTATTAATATCCGGACATATCTCTGCGTTCGATCACCTGACCCAATAATTTGCCCAATTTTACACCCCTAATATTATACAAGCCCATGATTTTACAAATAATCTCAAAATGATTAATTAAAAATATAAACATCTTATCAACTTATCTTCGATATCATTTGAGATAATTTACCTACAAAATAAAAAATTTGCAAAAATTATTGAAACCCCTTCAACAACTAGTTTCTAAAAAATTCTGGAGCATATGTTCTTTTTCTTTAAATTCTGCTTGGGATTTATTCCAATCTAAAATTTATCACCATTGATATACATTAATTCTCTCTCTATAATTTTTCTCTGCTTACTTTATCTTTATCTCTCTCATGTTCCTTGATAAAGTGTGGCGCATCAACATTTCCCCTTCATATCTCTCTTGCATTTACTATGTAATACAATATGATTTACTTTCCTATCATCACAATTAACTTGCTCTTTTCATTTCACTCTGATATAGCTCTTACAAACTCAAAAAATATTAATAACAACATTGATGAAAACAATTGAAAACAAGCTCAGGAATGACACATCTAATATGGCAGTTCCGACGAATGTGTTCGACCTGAGCCCAATTTTTAAAGCAAAACAATGCAGCTGATGTCCTACCATAGAGTCTGGGATCATTCAGCAAGACATGATAACAAAACAAAAAGTAAATATGTTAGACCTTACATCCCTCCTCTTCATTCAACGAAATTATTACGTGTGGTAACTAGATGCCGTTCGGAGGCCAATCAGGACACGCCACATCACCAATATATTATGTACCATCATAGTGTACCATTGTGCATCCGATGACGTGGTGCATCCTGATTGACCTCCGAACTATCCGGTAACCGCACATAATAACTTCTCCTTCATTTGAGAGAAGAGCAACGGTCTCTTCGATGGAGGCTGGTCTCCCTGTGGCCCTTAATCTAGAGAACGATGCCTGTTCAGGAATATGATCAAACAGCTGGAAAGCAAATGCTAGATTGCTAGATTTGAAGAAGGTAATGGCTCTAGGAGCAAGTTACCGATTTTGGAGCCCATGGATGATGACTTGGGATTGGATTTGGAAGAGCAAAACCAATAAGTTTACATTTGTGGAGGAGAGATAAGGGCCTCCTTTCTATCACTCTGTGCTGTTGGTTTAAGAAGGAAAGCCTGCTTATTTTATGGTCCAAATTCTAGTTGTCAGGAAAGAGATGAATCTATATGATAAGCAAAGTCATCCAACATTTACCAAGACAAACATTGAGGCTGATTATGAAGAAATCTGCCAAGCCAAGCTGAGGCTTTTATATCAAAAGAATTTAAGGTAGGACATCTGTGGCTAAGCTCCAGCTAATACAACTGCAACTAAAGAAGATGCTTCTTCCAGTGACATCATGAATCCTCCCAATCTGTGAAACCATGAACATCAACATCAGATTCTAGGCCTGAGCTAATCTGGAAGAGGGAAATTTCAAGAAAAGTAAGGATATAGTTATGAATGGATTTATAGTATACTAGATGGCATAACAACATTTGGATAGCATATAGAGTCACTCGATCAATGAGAACTAAGAAATCGAGAAACCACTGGTCTATTTATGGCACTGATAGGACTTGATGATAAAAAAAACACAATAATATAAATAAACAACTTACTCCCAATAGATCCATAAATAACAAAAAGAGACCTGTTTTTACTAATTTACAAACAAAGCAAGACAAGATACAAGTTGACTCATTATTCGAGAGGTGAATCGTCTCTCCCACAATACCTAACAGTTACTGGGAACCCAAACACCTCCAAAAACTTCTGTATAAATTCTCCAAAACATAACATAAAAAATCCTAACCCTTCATAATCTCCCTCCTTAAACAACTCAAAATCCCCTAATAAATGCCTCTTAAATCTAATAAATATCCCTTACATCTTTTCCAAAGAGTCCTCCCCTTTCCCAAAAAGTTTTCTCCCAAAACCTCTTCTCCTATAGGTGATAAAAGAGATCCTAGACCTCACCTGTGAGGCTGGACTGCTGCTACCAGCTGCATCAGGCACCCATGCATGTGCAAGCTCCTAAAAGTTAAGAATACTGGGCATATATAATACTCTTCTAGGTGATATAGGTTCGAGCTCTCCTTATAAAGAAAACTTCAATAATTCATATAAGTGAATATATGCAATTAAATACATGCATATGTCAATAAGAGCTTATGAGTTTCTTACAGCCAAGCCACAGATCCATTCAAAGGCACTTTTCATTGAGATTTTTTATTTTAAGCTGATTAGCATTTCTATTGTGTTAAGAGCCTGTTACTTCGGTTCTAGAGAACTTAGCTACATGTTGAATTAATAGGTAGCAATGACACATAACTAAGCGATCAAAAGCCTGTGATCCCAAAACAAAAGTATACAGAAGGACCAGAGTTGCAAATGCTAGAAAGATGAGGGTAGATATAAACAATTATGCAAATATATGATAAAAATATTACAAAATGAATTAGTTTAAAACACTCTACAAGACCAAAATCATATATCACTAATGGATAACATAGATGATCAATACTACAAAATCACTTACTTCAAAACAACTAATTTCTCTTTGTCCACTGAACAATCTATAGATAAATCATCTTATACTTGATAATTTACATCTGGATTTTTAGAAAATTCAGATTATTTCATTTTTAAAATCTTATAATTTAGAAGTCCGGAGTTTAGTAGAGAATGGATTTTCTCCTTCTTTTGTTTAAAAAATATTTCTTTTGTTAAACCTTCTGATTTGTAGTCTAATAAAAATTGAGTTAGATCTATTAAATGCAAAATTCTTATATAATTTTACTGTGTTTTTAGTCCAGAAGAGTTTAATCTCACTGCTAATTTGAAAACCAGTAAAGATATTTGAAATCTATCACTTCTATGTTTCGAGAAATAAGAAAGACAGGAGTGAAAATCAATAATGAAGCAATCCTAAGGAAGATGTCATTAAGTTTCATAAGATTTAATCTCAATGACACCTAAGAATGAGAATAGAAAGAAGAATAAAACAAGAAAGGAAAAACAGAACAACAATTCACGCCTAGCCTTAGCAGTCCAAGTAGAAGAAAATGAAGTACTCTGATAATGATGATGAGATAAATGATTTATTATATGTAGAGTTGTCTAACTCCATTTGATAAATATAATATGGTTTACTTTCATCGCCCTTAACTTTCTCTTTTTTTTTCCAATCTGCATCTAAAGTAATCTCAACAACTCAACCAGGCTCCAACAAAATTAATAACAATGATGAATATGAAGATGACAATGATGCCAAGGAGGGTAAAGATTAATATTTTGCTACTCTTGAAATATAAGGTAGAGTTCTTTTGCCAAACTATTAATGATTCCAAAAGCAGAGAAATAGTTGTCAAACTTATGAAGATTCCAAAATGAAAATAGTGGCCACCTTCTCGTCCTGACTTCACAAAGTTCACTTCACAAAGTTCATCGAGTTCTGATTCAACTATAACAACCCTTGAAACATCCATCAAACTCTCTAAAATCTCATAAATATCCTTTGATCTTGCATGCTTTGCATCTGAAGAACAGAACTCAACCACCTCCATGTTCACCTCAACAAGGCTACAACCCGGCAACTTTCCAACACCCATTGTTCTCAACACCTTATGCAACCTGCCAAAATCTTTCCATCTTCCAGCATTGCCATAAATATTTGATAGCACAACATAATTGGAAACATCCTCAGGCACGAGCCTCACGAGCCGGCTCATCGCAACCTCGGCCAAATAAACATGGTTCCACGCTCGACAAGCCCCAAGAAAAGCACTCCAAATAACATCATCAGGCTCCATTGGCATCTCCATCACAAATCCAATGGCCTCATAAAGCAAGCCAGCTCGACCAAGGAGGTCCATCATGCAGCCATAGTGCTCAATCCATGGATCAATAGAGTAAATCTGTTTCATGGACTTGAAACATTCAAATCCTCTCTCAACAAGACCCATGTGGACACAAGCACTCAGGACTCCAACAAATGTTATCCCATCAGGCTCCTCTGTAGCCTCCAACATATGATCAAACAACTCCAATGCCTCCAATCCCATTCCATGCATTGCCAAACCGTTGATCATTGAATTCCAAGTAATGACATCTCTCTTTTCCATTATAGTGAACACATTGATTGCACTATGTATGCAGCCACATTTAGCATACATGTCGATCAGCCCATTTCCAATGTAGACGTTCCCTCTGAATCCATTGTTCTCAGAATACAAATGGATCCATCTCCCCCAATTGAGAGCACCAAGCTTCGCGCATGATGATAACACAACCATAAGCATAGCATCATTGGGCTTAATATTTGTTGAAATGAGCATACGGCGGAAAACATTCAAGACATCGGAGAACTTACCATGTCGAGCATACCCTCTTATCAGCCCATTCCATGAGAACACATTCCTATCAGGCATGATTGCAAAGAACCTCTCACAGGCTCCAATATCTGCCCAAATGGCATAGCCAAGTAAGATAGTATTCCAAGATTTGACATCCCGTATTGGCATCCTAGAGAAGAGCCCCTTAGCAGTAGCCATATCTCCAAGTTCAATATATGCTGAAATCATGATGTCCCATAGGATCACATCATGTTCTTCTAACTGATTAAAAAGTTGAAAAGCATTTCTCATATCACCATTAGCAATATAAGCTTTTATTATTGCAGTCCACACCACAATATTTCTTTCAGGCAAATCCTCAAATATCTTATATGCTAACCCTGCATCTAACTTGCTTGCATACATATCAATTAAGGCAGTTCCAACAAATAGGTTCGACTTGAGCCCATTTTTTAAAGCAAAACTGTGCACCTGATCTACCACCATAAGGGCAGGGATCATTGAGCAAGACTTGATAACAAAAGGAAAAGTAAAAAGGTTAGGCCTTACATCCCTCTTCTTCATTTGAGAGAACAGCCGCAGCGTCTCTTTGTGGAGACCGGCCTCTGTGTAGCCCTTGAGCATGACGTTCCAGAGAACGGTACCTGGTTGAAGAATTTGATCGAACAGTTGGCGGGCAGATGCTAGATTGCCGGTTTCGAAATAGGCAATGGCGGCTTTGGGAGCAAGTTGGCGATTTTGGAGGAGGCCATGGATGATGACCTGGCATTGGATTTGGAAGAGTTGATCGATAAGCCTACATTTGTGGAGGAGACAGAAAAGCCTCTCTTCTACGACTCCATATTGATGTTTTAAAGAAGGAAGCATGCCTATTTTACTGTTGGAACTTGGTTGTAAGAGAAGAAAGGAAGAATTTTTTGAACAAAATCTGTATAATACTGTAAGTAATAACTCAGTAGATTCTAAACATGAAGAAAAACTCTGCGATGCAGAGCTTAATTGTTAAATTTATTTTTATATTTGTAAAATTTATCTTATTTGCTAAACCCATTCTTTAATTAATATAATAAATGCTTTGTATATACTATTCATTTATCATCATAAAATAGTCAAGCATTTGACATTTATTTGACTTTATTTTAAAATTTTATTCATTTTAAAGAAGAAAACAAGAGATGCAAGAATAGGACTTATGACACAACAAAATTTATGAAACTTGGGTTTCAAAGCATCTGTATAATACTGTAAGTAATAACTCAGTAGATTCTAAACATGAAGAAAAACTCTGCGATGCAGAGCTTAATTGTTAAATTTATTTTTATATTTGTAAAATTTATCTTATTTGCTAAACCCATTCTTTAATTAATATAATAAATGCTTTGTATATACTATTCATTTATCATCATAAAATAGTCAAGCATTTGACATTTATTTGACTTTATTTTAAAATTTTATTCATTTTAAAGAAGAAAACAAGAGATGCAAGATTAGGACTTATGACACAAAACAAAATTTATGAAACTTGAGTTTCAAAGCTCAAAATTTGCTTGATAATTATTTGAATTTCAATTGATTAAAAAATTAAAATTAATATGATATGACTTAAAATAGAAATTTAATTCAAAGAATTACTCTTTAAAAGTTTGCAAATCCACAAATTAATGAAATAAAGTTTAACATTTTTGTTGAGTTTAAGTTGAGCTCAAATTTAAATAATCAAATAAGTTGATTTAGACTTCATTTTATACATCTTTCTTACTGCTTTATTTTTTAGATCATAATCATAGTTTCTTTTTGCCCACTAATTTTTTCATTATTTATAAAATTTTTTTGTACTAGGTAACTTAGAATAACAGGATTCAAATCCTCAAATTCTTTTTTAAGATCTACATCATTTGTTCAATATTAGGGCTATCATCCACCCAACCCTCTCTTTAACATAAAATGTCTGAACACATCACAGAAAAATTATTTTGTGCGGAAGCATAATCCCGTCCGGATGCCTAAGCCCGCAGCTCGGTACCGCTGTACCAAGCGTCAGTGCCGCTCGGTACCATGGCTCGATATGACTAACATAGCTCATTCTAATTGGTATCCGGATACAGAGCTGAGTTCGACATCCGCACATAATAATCTATCCAGATCACAATATATGGATGAATATCAGGATGAAGGAGCCATATCACAACACATGGATGAATATCAAGATTGAACCGAATAAATTTGAGTCAAACTTGAGCCGAGGTAGGATCAGCAAGAGATCAGATCTTTCAGTCCTCAGCTAAAGCACTTCAATAAAGATAGATGTCTACAGATGAACAAACAACCAAATCAAACATAAAAAGCATACCAGATTTCCTTTCATAGTAATGGCTGAATATACAAAACAACTCCATTTATTTACTAAAACCATTCTTGCTAACAAACACCAGATCCAACATAACCCCAAAACAAAAACAAAAAAACTTTCCAAGTTCTCAGGAGAAAGTTATAAAAAAAAAGCTTCATTCTGAAACAATGGGGGTGAAGATTTAGCAGAACTCGAAAAGGTCATCATAGCTCATATCAGAGTATCCATCATAATGATAATAACTAGAGTCATCAAAATAAAAATCATACTCTGTATCAGATAGCGTAGGATCAAAATCCGTATCAAATGCCTCATGGCTGACAATAAGGTCGTTGAACTCATAATCAGCAGTAGAATCCTGAGGAAGTCTCGACTCCTTTATCTTTGCACATTTTTCCTTCAAACTTTCATCAACATTTACATTAAAACATGCACGAATGTCAAGGTACTGAAGATTGGGGCAACTGTTGAGTATGGCGATCAAACCAGTATTGGTAAGACTGTTTCCAATAAGCTGAAGACGCTGCAGCTTTTGCATGTGCGTTGCAATAGCAAAAGCCTCTGCATCAAAATTCTCATGTGAATCGCCATAATAGTCGTATCGATCCTTGTATGATTCTGCATTAAGTCTGAAGCTCTTCAATTGTGGACAAGCTAGGCCTACTAATTCAATTACTTCAGCAGAAAAGGAACAAAATGAGATCTCAAAATCCTCCAACAGAGAAAATTTTCTGACTGCTTGAGCCAATTCCATTTCAGACATACTATTGATTGATATTAAGCGCAGGCGTCGCAACTTGGTTGCTCTGCAAGAGTGTGAGAGATTCAGAATAGTCATTTAGAATTACAGAAGAAGAGCCATAGGTGCATATGATCCACTGGTTTCTCAATCATAATTGTTGATTATATTTATTTTACCAATAAAATTGTAGAGGACAATTTTGAAATTGGCATATGAGTATTTTAGAATAAATGGAGGGATAGAAGTGATATGTAAAATAGCTTTATGTTGCCATGAAACAAATGACCACAACAAAATAAAAATAATAATAATAATAATAATAATAATAATAATAATAATAACCTTGAGAATGCAAAAGATGAAAATCCTGAAGGTGGAATTGAAGTGCTAAATGAAAAAATCTACAGAGAAAGCACGCCATGCACATGAAGAATAAGGAGCTAGTTTTCACAAAGTGTAGTTTATCCTGAAGCCTTCATCTTGTACTAAATAAACCAAGAAAGAAGAAAAATGACAGACAATCCTAAGAAGCCTTTGGGATCAATTTTTTAATATATTTTTTATTTAGTTTAATTTATATTTTGGCATGAAATAAAATATATTTAATATCTTAAATATAATGCTCTTATCTTTATTAAATATCAAATAATTTGATTTATACACTAGTGGTAGCTGTCATTGGCGAGATAGCTATGGAGCCCAATAGGATGACAACAACGGTAGTGGCGGCAACTAGTTGTGATAGGTGTTTTTTAATATTAAAAACAGCTCAAACTTGAATGTTTTTTTGTTTTTAAACAACTTGATATTTTTAACAACAAAATCAAGCACTTATCCCACAACATGGGGTCAGCTGCATGAATCATTTTTTTCCATTGTATCATGTTAAGAGTCAAATTCTCATTTAAATCTAATAAAAATGATTATTTCTAATATTTTTGAACCAAATATTTTTAGGTTTGCGTCTACCTTTCTTAATATAGGTCAAATCCAATACATCTACTCTCCCAACCGGGTTATGCCGAAATTTTATGTGACAAAACCATCTAAGGCGACGTTCTCTAAAATCTTATCTGCCACTGAAGCTACTCTAACTTTTTCATGTAAATACTCATTTCGAAACTTAACTTAATTTTATGCTTCTCTTTTAATGGCCAACATTCTGCACCAAAAAGCATTGCAAGCCCGATGCATTCCTCCACTTCAACCATTGTGGGCTCCGAAAATTCGGCCCCGGCCTCCGCCCGACTGGTTGCTTTTTCTTTTCGGGGGGTTTAACGGATTAAAGTTCCGGGGTAAATTTTGGGAAGGCATATGGGTTTGTAGATAAGACACTACCTAAAGATTTCGCCCTCATTTTGCGAGGACTTTATGATCTGAGTTTTGGTTTCCTATAGGCCAAGCCCCTAAAGTTAATTACCCCTCTCGATAACGAGAGAGAACTTTCGATTAAGGCTAGTCGTCAATCAGATACATTATATCCGTAGATACGTAGTATCAGACGTATAGTAGTAGCATGGGCATAAAATTGAAAATGGAAAGATTTTATATTTAAATTTAAAAATTTCACCATCTTGCCTTAAAGTGGATGGTGGAATGGATAATGGACCCGATCAAAATCCCATGGTTTTGTCGTCCCGGGCCATCGTGGTCCGTGGTCTACTTAGTTAGAGGAGGTAGTCGACCCAACCTGACAAAAGGATCCTTGTCGGCAGCCAAGGGTTGCTTCATCCAAGGGGAACTTGTAGACCTGGGGTGAATGTTTGTCTAAGGGGATAAATTTGAATCCACCTTAGCTAATAGAGGGCTTTGTGCCCTATCGATCATATTCTATTGATTCATATCTCAATAATTTGATATAACTAAGGAGCGTATTGGCTCTAGCCATAACCGGTATTTTATGATGCCATTTGGCGGCAAAACCTAATGAGGACATCGACAGACGCTACTGACAGGTTTATCGACAGTGGAATCGCAGATCGAAAGCCACGATTCAGCACCTCTACTTTTGATTCAGATGCCATGATGCATTATTTAGTATTTACTATTTTTTTTTTCGTTTTTACCCCTTTGGGGAGTTACTTTGTTATTGTAGCTCAAAGGGCAGTGTTGTACTTTTCTTTTTCATGAGTTGAGACCTATATATAGTGGTCTCATATGTTGTATTGGAGTTAATGAATATTTGAATGAAAAATTGTGTTTTGTTTCTACTTCTTCTTGCATGAGAGCTTGAGAAGGGAGAGAGCTCAAGGGGAGCAAATCGCAAGGCCCACCAGTCGTTGGAAGAGTCCGCTGCTCGTGGTTAAGTTATTCTATCTTCTCGTTTGTGTTTTCCTCCAACCACTTCCCCCACCACCACAAGAAAAGCCATACAAAATCCTTGTTGCCGCCGCCTCCTTGGAAGCCCGCCGCCGGCCACTCCCACGGCACCGGCAGGCCACCTTGCCGGCAACTTCCCCCCACCCGTCCAACCCATTTCTCCGCAAGTTTAAAATTTGAAATTTGACTTTCAAATTTCAAATTCTTTCCTAATTTGGAATTCCAATTTAGAAAAGTTTTCATGACGAATTCCAATTTCAATTTAATTTAAATTGGAATCTTTTAAAATATTTCCACATCATCACTCCAAATTGGAAACCATCTTTCCACTAATCTCCCTCTCCCCCTCTCAACATGCCACCGGCCCCCCTTGATGGAGTCTCCCCATTGTTTGCTCATTTAATGCCGCACCCGATTTGAAATTAAAATTTGATTTCAAAGATTTTTTCCCTCCCAACTTACTTAATCCTGAAATTAATTTCAGTTTTAAGTTTTAAACCTCCTCCCTCTCTCTCTATAAGCCGCCGGCCCCTCATTGGCTCCCCCTCTTAACCCCCATTCAATGCCTTAATTTCTAGATTTGAAATTTAAAATCAAATCAAATTTCCCTCCAAACTTAATCAAATCTGAAATTAAATTCAGATTTTGATTAAATCTCTAAAGTAATCCACCCAAACCTAATTTCCCCTAACTCTAGCCTTCTCCCCCTTGAACCCGCCGGCCCCCTCCCTTTTCCCCTTGGAGATCCCGCCGCCCCTCCCTTCTCCCCCCTCCTTCTTCGCCACCTACAAGTGCTCTCCCTCACCACTACATATTTCTTCCCTTCTCATTGAAATATTCTCCCACGTCAAGCATGCATGAGGAGATTCAGACATATATGTCAAGTCAGACAACGAGTGGGGAGACAAAAATGATGTCGAGAGTCGAGCATCAATGTTGTGGAATAGAAATTGAGCATTGATGTTGAGACAATGTCGACCTCCGACGTCAATACAATGTCGAACAAAGATGTTGAGATGACGTTGGATAAAGATGAGATGTCGAGAAAGCGCAGGGGTTTTGATTGTAAGGGAACCTATATTCCAAATTTCTATCCTAATTTTAGTTTGATAGATTAGCTTATTTGTCCACATTCGTCCATGATGTGGGAACATTTGCTTATTTAATACTACACCCGATGCTGGTGCAACAACCCTTGAACACTTCTTATTGTATTAATGCCACATAGTGTGTCGCTTCTAGAGAACATCCTAGCATTAATATAATGGATTAAAGGAATCACGTCTTGATTATTTGATAAGTTTTATGCTGGATGTCGAGTACCTAACGCAACCCTGCCTTTTCTTATCTAGGGTTGGGACCAAAAAACATGTTTCATAGGGAAAAAAATGAAAAAAAAAAAAGTTATTACAAATAAGACAAGCCTTTTTTGGAAAAAAAAATATTGTTGATATAATATATCCCGTAAAAAATAAGTCATTGTTACACCCACTAAATGAACAATTTGTAATGTAAATATGTTGTCCAGGTTATTAAGCCATGAAGAAGAAAAACGTGCAGTATAATGTTTTCATCGCATGTTTACTCAAATCAGAATAGTGAAATTAAGGCTCCTATTGAGCAAAGCATCTAAAAGCATAAGTGACCTATTTGAGCAAAGCATCTAAATAGTCAGAATAACTATTTGAGCTCATAAGGAAAATAAATCCATTGAGATAGGCAGCTAGCCAAACCATATCTACTGCACACCAAGTGTTACGGTTATGATGTTTAAACAAGATGTAAAGTAGAATAGCAGACAAATCAACAAGGACTAACTGAAATGCTCTAGAGGTAATGGAAGAATAGATTGGATTAATTATAAATTTAATAGAGCATGGGATAGAAAAGAACAGGGATAATCATAAGATTATGCAAGCAAGAACGAGAAAGATTACTGCCTAAACAGATTCTATCACAGTGAAATCCATATATTACTACAAGCGCTGTTAAAAAAACTAAAGCAGATCAAAGGACCAATAAAATCAGACGTGTTTATTTATGTAAATACAAAACTGTAAACACTTTTTTATACAAAAAGGAACAATCACGGTAGCTGATAATGGTATTTGACATCTCATTAGCAATCATCTCGCTTAGCTAGCCTAAAACATAATGACATAAATCTCCCTGAAATAAGGTAAAAGCTGTACTATAAAATCAGTTAAAACTAAATCAATAGCTCATAAAGATAACACAAAGAGGACATGTCTCCTTTCCGATCATCATTGTAATTGCAACCATGCAATTATTTTATCTCAACCATCCATTTAACTTTGAAGGATTGGAATTGAATCCACCAATATTAGAGTGATTGAAAATCATGATGGTTTCATTCTCAGCAACACAAAGAAGAGTAGATGGCTGAAATAGAGTAATTGCACGGTAGAAATACCATGGGAAAGGAGAGGATCCTCATCCAACATGAAGAACAACCTTAGAAATGATGTCTTAGCGTATAGATTTAAGAGGATACATAAATGTATACCCATTCTTTCATATTACTGGAATGATTGCGGATTGCTAACTATGTGTCAAAAGCCATAATTTTTCGTATCCTAAACCCTACACGGATTTTAACTATTGAATTGGAGAAAAGCAAATAATCAACAAGGTGAATGTGAAGCATATAATTTTAATCTAAGAAAAAACATAAATTATTGTATAAAATAAATATGAACCTGTCAGAGATATAGCTCAAGAGTTCATCGCCCTCGCCCCCAAAGCACTCCACATAAAACTCCTCCATATAAAACTCCTCCATGCATCCTTTACTCCTGTCCACAGCGATCAGTACCATGGATTTCGCGACATTCATGTCCAGGTCCTCACCCGGCACTTTTATTTGGATGCACCTCCAAAGGTCTGGTTCATGCGATAGATGTCGCCACATCCTACACACAAACTGCGCCGACCTTATGATCTCCAACGCCGCAATCTTCTTGAATATTACAAAAAGAACATCACAGGGAAGCTCTGCCCAGTTCCTCTCCTCCGCCCCCCTTGGGAATTCTTTATCTTCATCGTTTATTTCATCATCATCTTCTTCTTCTTCTTCAGAGTCGCTGTTTTCCGAAAACTGGTCTGATAAAGTTCGTATGCCCTCCTTCAATAAATCGAACGGCAAAACCATTGGCAATGAGTGGGGCGAGATTGAATCCAGATTTGAGGGTTTCAAGAGGTTAGGTCTTGGGGAAGAGGGCTCTACCCGCGTAGCTGGGCAATCCCTGGCGAGATGCCCCATCACCCCACAGGTATAACAAGGCCCAAGCCTACCGCAGTCCATCGCCATATGACCTATCTCGCCACAACGGTAGCAAGCACCACCGAAATACCTCCTACCCTTGATGTAGGCACCGCCGGGGCCAGTGACGCTGACGGCCCTTTTGCGGCCATCATCACCCACGGATACGACAAATTCGACGGCATTGCCCACAACAAGCGAGCGGTAACCCATCGCCTTAATGGAGGAATTGTGAACAAACAGATTCTCACCGCCGTCCTCCGGCGTGATGAAACCGAATCCCCTCCTGACGTCGAACCACGCCACAGTCCCTTTACATGTTTCGATTGAAGAAGCCATCAGCCTAAGATCAACTCGAAAATAAGAAACCCTAACCCTAGATCCAACTGCCCTTTTGCAGTCTCCAATTACTGGCGAAATGCACCGTCGGCCATTAGCGAGGTACTTAGGCCATCTCAACGAAAAATTTCAATTTTCGCTCCGAAATTTAATACTATTAAAAATATATATAGTAATTCGTCTCCGCTTAAATTTTATTTTCTAACATTAAAAAAAAATCTATATATTTATTTCTCATATTTTATTTAACCTGATTTTTTTATTTAAAAAAATAGCGTGCGAACAATATGAGATGTTCACCCTCACGTGAATGACTTTATTTTTTCCGATCGGCTAGATTGAATGACAGACGTCAAATGAGTGTTAGACGTTCGGCTAGAAATAATCTTACATCAGCCATTACAGAGCTACATTTGGATTCACAATAAAAACACAATGCGTCATTTACTCAATCATATCATTCAATTCTTTACGACAGTCCATCAATTATAATAGTAGTATCAATATCAATACTTTGTAAAAGTAACAGAAATTAGTGTCTCAGTATTAGCATTCGTACAATTTTAATATACAATAATCAATATCTATATTCAGTAATTATTATCAATGTTCAGTAATCATTATCAATATCACTACAGGAATCGATATCTATGAATTAGATATTTAATTAAAAGTATCTTGATCTTGTTTCTGCCCTTATGACTCTCGATCAGTTGTCCCTTATGACTCTCAATCAGTATACTCCTTAGGACTTCCCTTAAATCACGTGGATCAGTCACGTCGATTCTTTCTAACTCTCGATCATTTTCTAGCTTCTTATGACTCTCATCCATGAATCAGTGAATCTTAATGTTTTCACGTCGATGTTATCATTTCATACATCTAATAAATAAATAAAATTGGGGTGATAACACTTGGGGGGAAGAAAGCCTTAGAAATATATCACATGAGTGAAGTTTTTTTTATGAATTATATGAAGAATATGTTGTGCAGTTTGATTCAGATGTTGAAGCTTCCAAGGAGATCATAGGAAATAGCTCAAAAGGCACAAGTAGTTCCACCATACCTATAAGTTGAGGCAAGGAATCGAAGAACTATAGTGGATGGCATGAGTTCACCTCTTATGTAACAACAAAAACAAATAAAAGGCCTATAAAATTATATTTAGACAAATGTTTCGAAGATGGCTTATAAATAGAAAATGACGGTCAAACATTCGATGTCATTTCTTGGTGGAAAAGCAATCAAATAAAATATCACATACTATCAAGAACGACAGTTCATATACTTTCAATTTCAATCATTACGATTGCTTCAGAGTCCACATTTAGTGCTCGCGAAAGAGTTGTTCATACATATCACTCTAAATTTGGAGTTGAAATAGTTCAAGCACTCATTTGTGGATCTAATGAGGTTCGGTGCCATTATGGATTGAAGGGAAGAATCAAGATAAATATATTATATATCATAAATAATTTCTTACCTTTGTCATTGAATTCATTTATATGAATATCAAACATCGAAATAAGATTTAAGATTGTCCTTTATTTTTGTAGGAAGAAGATGGCGATGAAGAGATGAAGATTTCTTTGCCTATTACCTGAGTCATTAAAAGGTAGAAAAAAAACACACATTTATTTAGTAATAGTCATGAAAGGGGACCCAAGCATGAAGAGAAGGAGGAGAAGGAAGAAGACAAACTTGAGTTCTCTTGTCACCACACTCCTCCTCAAGCACCACCAAACTTACACCCTATAGCCGACCGACATCAAACTTCTGCCTGACTACAGACCAACGTTGGAGTTCTTCATGGCTGCTGAATGATGTTGGACTTCTACCCGACTGCTGACTAACATCGGACTTTTGCCAGATAGTCAATTGAAGCCCAATTTCAGCCCAACCACTAAACGTCGTCGAATTTTCAATCTCCGTTTGTAAGTATATTTCATCCCGATGATTGATTATTGTAATCTGATCGTCCTCAATTTCAAAGATGAGTTAGTCACTTGTAATATAATTGAATACTAGTGGAATCATTTCGATTGAACATGGCCCTATGCTTTTCCCTTTTCCACGATTTTTCACGTAAAAATTCTAGTGTTTTGTTTTTCTTTTGTTTATGTGCTGGATATCCGTACAACGCTAAGATGAAAATTTATAACTCTATCGCTGCATGTATTCTAGCTTACAACAAACCCGAATGAATAAATACCATTATAAGGTCTGAATATAGGCATTGCTAATTTGTAAGTGCTCAAAATAAATGCATAGTTAAATAATGATGAAAAATAAATGCCTAATAATCATATTCTTATGAATATCCATAACAGGATTTGAATTCTTGCCAATGGTGTCATATCCGACTTAAAATTCAAATTTATGGAAAATCAAGCTCAATATTTGAGCCAAGTTCGAGCTTCTTAAACGAGCTCGCTAAACAAAGCTCGAGCAATCGAGCCAAGTTCAAGCTCAAATAATTTTAAACAAATTGAGCTCGAGTTCAAGCTCAATGAGGGAACGAGCTCAACTCAATCATATAGATACTCGACTCGACTCGTTTACACCTCTAGTTGACATATTATAATAGAAATTAAAATCTCTTGAATTTAAAGCTTCTATATGTAAAACTTAGGCTTCGTTTGGGACGGTTTTCTTCATGCTTCTTAAATTAACTTTTTAGTAAAAAATTAATAATTTTTTATTAAAAATTTATTTTAAGAAGTAATAAAAAACCGTCCCAAACTAAAACTTAGACTCATGCAAAAATGACAAAGGACAAAAAGATCCCTACTTTGTTAAGTAAATAGTGGGTGTACGTTTGGGTTTGCTTAAAATAGGTGAGCAGAAAACGTCTAACGCGGCGACATAACGGACGAGTTCATCGGTTTCTTTCGTTTCCCTTCCCTCTTTTTCTTCAACCCTTCGCCCTTTTATACACATTACATCTTTCCCTCTCTGTCTCTCTCTCGCTCGCTCGCTGATCTCCGGGATTTGAAGGAGCTTTATCGTCGATCATGTCAGAGGTGAGCTTCGCTCCTTTTCTTAACTACACGCTGAATCGTTCATATTTCCCCTCTACGAATCGACTAAGATTTTTTAAATTTTTCCATATGTATTTTGTAATGTGACCTGGGAATAAGAGGATTGATTCTCTCTTTGTTCATTTTTCATGTACAATGCGAACGGTTTGTAATCGAGGGTTTGATTTCTTATGCTTTAATTGATTACTGTATTCAGTGGATCCATTCCTTTACTTGAATGGTTATGTTATTTTTTCCTACCCAGATAGAAAATGCAGAGATTTTAGGAATTAATGTGTAGGTTTATGGATTTTGAGCTGAAAGATCTGTATCTTGTGATTGCTTGGATTGGATGAAGCTTGTGAGATAGAAAATTCAGTTGCTTGGTTTTGAGTTGTGCATGAATTGATACTGCCAATCTTGTAGATCTTAAAATGCCGGATTCAGATTATCTCCAATTTCCAAGGTAAGTGCACGAGCTTGGATGACTGGGATTAATTCGAGCTTATTTTATGAAAACCGCTCTTGATTTGAAAATTTTAATCCCAACCATCCAATTTGGATTGGAAGTCTTGGATTGGTAACTGCAACCTGGTAATTGGAGAGGATCCAAATTCAAGACAGAAAATTTATGTATTAAGAACTCCTGATTAATTTTTTATCCGAATGGATCTCAGAGTCGTTGGATTTACTTTGAGATGGATGCAACATATCATGGAGAATCAATCAAAATTTATATTCTGTTCATCTCAAAGCAATCTAACAGCTTTTGAGATCCATCCTTACCAAAAATTTGGTGAAGATATTCTGAGCCAATTTTGTACCCATCCAAATCATTGCTAGTCTTTCATTCATTTCGCTCTATTTTAACCCATAGGTATAATGAAACGCAAACTCATTATAGTGCCGCTAGTTCTGTTACTTATCATGTGTAAGTAGGCAATTTCATTCACTGAGGGGAGAACTCGTAATGGAAAGAAGAAAGGAAGTATTAGGAAAGGAATAGATTAAAGGTGTCTTTAATATGTGTTGAGCCTTTTTGGGTAATATCATTTGGAAATATTGTATTTATTTTCGGCAATTGACATTGACATTTTTCATAAAGTAGTTGTCGTTTAATCATTATTCATGCAACTTTATATCATTTCAAATTCATAGAATCCAAAGAATGCATTCTATTAAGTGTAGGGCAGTAAGTTTGGCACCAGATTAGTACAAAAGAGTAAAAAGACTTTTTATGTGAGATGCTCTTTGCTTTCATGGCTGAGTTCAATAATTAGAGGGCCAAATCTTCAAATAGATGCCATTTAGTATGACCTAATGCAAAATACTAGTAATTTACATTGATGGATATGCAGTCATCAACTTCAAAGATTTAGGTTTCATTTGGAATAGCTTTCATATTGTTTTTTAAAATGGTTTTTTATACAAAAATTTCAAATTCAAAAAATTTTTGTACTGAAAAAGTGCTTTAGAAAGCAAGAAGAAAGCCGTCCAAAACGAAACCTTATTAACCATGAGGCATATTTATGAATGTTCCGTAAGTCTCATGATGTTGCAAATTCAGGTTTTATTTTCAGCACTTCTTTCACTCTAGTTTTTTTTTTTTCTTTTCCTCTCTTTTGCTTGATATTTACTCTCAAAGATTATAGATTTTTACAATGAAGCTTATATATAAATATAGTGAGATAGTCACAATCTAAAGCTTGCTTTATTGCTCTTCTTTTATCCCTCAACTGTTGTTATTCTGTACATCATATAAGCTAGCAGGTTCTTTTGTCAATTGATTTTAAGATCAACATTATGACTGTTTATATTATCCAACACCATCATATGCTGATAGCTTCTCCTCTTTAACAAAGCTCCCAACTGTTACAAATCTTGAAGATTGGAGAAATTAATAGCGCAGCCCCCTGACTAACAGCTATCTTTCATCATTTCCTCTGTTGAAGTTCTTCCGACTTTCTAATATTAACTCATCCATCACTTTTTATTTTGAATTTGTGTGTCAGCCTTACGTTAGCCTAAGGCGTCTATCTCAGAAAAAAGTAACATAAAGGGCCGCATTTACTTCACAGAAACTAATAGATATGCTACCATCTCAAAGAATGAGAGAGCTTAGTATTTATAGACAATCTAATTTATATAAGGATTAATTTGATTTTCAAATAAAATAAAGAATATAACATTATAAAAAAGACATTTTAATCAAATTTGATTGTACAGGTATATTTCAATTGAATCTTTCAACAGTAAAAGCTTCTTATTAGTCATTTATTCTTCACAAATCATTTATTCACTTATTGCTATTTTACTTAACGATAGTAAATAAGTTTGATATGTGTGCCCTTCATTTATTTTTAAATACTAAACGTTGATGGCATGTCTGACACGTGGCAAACGTATGTCATATTCGATTTATAAGTACAACACTACCCACCGAGGCTTAGGGTTGTTGTTGGACAGGCACGATTGGGAACCCCCCAGATTCGAATCATCTCTACTACAACCTCGCCTCTTCAGTGGGGCAAAGCAACTATGCTAGGTTCCGCTGAGGGATTAGTTACACCGCCAAGTAATCCCTTTGGAGTGGCAATGGGTAAAAATGTACAACACTGCATATTTTGATGTTATAAAATATCTGCACATCATAAATTTCAACCTGCAAATTTTTTCAATTTTGGCGAAACTGTGATCATCAATTTAGGATGGGAACAGGACAAGGGACAGCCATTGCCCAAATTTGGTGAGTGGGATGTGAACAATCCTGCATCAGCTGAAGGATTCACTGTTATTTTTAACAAAGCTCGGGATGAGAGGAAGGGAAATGCTAATCCAGGTGCAGTGCCAGCGCCACCAAGGAACAATATAGGAGGCTACAAACTTGAAGACGACAATGATCTCCCAAGGAAGAATGTATGTTTTATTTTACTCTCTTCATTCCAAAAAAACCTTTTTTTTTTATTATTTTTTTTATTTTTATGAACGTGGTTGCAGAGTAAATGGTTTTGCTGTGCTTAAGACATGGATGTATGGCCTTGAAAGATTTGGTGATTCTGTATCCACAGGGTTTAATGGGATTATAAAAGATGTTACTGTATTAAAGCTGTCCAAGTTGTGCTTTACCCATATCCCATGATGTGTTATATAAATTATGTAGAGAAATGATGAGATGAATGGAAGTTTTCTTTCTTCTTCTTCTTGAAATTTGCCTATTTGTTGGTGGTCAGGAGACCATAATTATTTAAGCTTATTAACTTATAATGTATTGACTATTGAGAGAGAGGAGGAATTATTTTGTGCGGTTACCGAATGTCATTTAGAGCCCAATAAAAATGCGCCACATCACCTCCTACTCGGTACCACGGCTCTATATTGCTCGGTATCGAGCTCGGTATTGGATGACATGGCTGCACCTGATTCGCCTCTGGACAGTAAGTTGTGTCTGGTGTCCGCATAAAATAATCTCTCTTTTGTTTAGCACTCCAATTCAATCAAAATCTGGCCACGGCTGGCTTACCTTTTGTTAAGCAAAATGGCCCTTGATGTTTAGTTAGGCTTCCCCTTTAATTTATAAAGGTATTCTTTCAGGACATGGTACGATATAAGATCCTTATGTTTCGAATTATGATATGCATATATATTTTAAGATATTATTTCTTAAAAAATTAATTTTTTATTAGCCATTATTTATAAAAAAAAAATTAGGAATTTAGATGTTTCACATTAGAAAAATTAAAATACATCAAAATATAAACTTGATAAAATATAATTATATATGATATTCATGTAAAAAGTACTCCAATTCAATCAAAATCTAACATTTGTAAAAAGTCTTTATTACTTTATTATGGATTTACTCATTAAATTTTCATTTAAGATTATTTGTTTTACTACTTTTTAAAATAATTTTTTATTATAAAAAATTATTCAATTAAAAACTTGTGCTAAACAAAAACTACCGAATGAAATATAGCAGGTTGGGTTCACAATAATTTGATTGTATTTCACATGAAATTCCAACCAATCAAATATGTATGTAAATCCCAAAAACAAAAACTGCAAGCATAAATCACCTACCGAATGAAATGCCCATTCATCTTCCGTATAATTTCCCAAAAATAAACCAGCAATTTGTAAAATACAATTACTCACAATTATAGTGCCAATACAGTTAGTCACAATTATAATGGCAAAAAAAAAAAAAAAAGTTTTAACTCTAACTATGTCAAGGAACTCATTACATTCCATCAAAAAGCGACTGAAAAATACAAATTGAAAATTCCGGCCAATAAAGTTCAGCAGGAGCAACATCAAAAGGATGTTCTGTTAGATCTTCTTGAAGATTAAAAACCATACCAGTCCTCGCAATCTACAAGATCTGCACCATTAGCTCCATCTCACAACTGAACACAGTTCCTTGGCTCCAATAAGTATATTCAAGATCAATTATCTTCCTTTTTCTTTAAGTTTCTCCTCCTGTTCAGGAAGTTATGACTGGCTAGCTAATGGAATCACATTGCGATCAGATACAGGTGACATTATAGTAGCCAGTTTTTTCGAACCAGGTGAACTTTCTAGTTCCTGATTCTGTGTCTCGATCTCATCTGTAGTATTATCTTTCAATTCAATCTCTACTTTAAGCGCATTGGTAATTGTCACAGTTGACTCCCTCCATTCAATCCATTCAGGTGGTTTTGCACTTTCAATTGGTGGATTCGAGTTTGCAAGATCATCTTTCATCAAGGAGCCATTACTGAGGCCTGCGGCTCCAGTATCCTGGAAATCACTACTTGATGCAGACCTGTCAGCAGGATCTTCACTCTCACCACCAACTATTTTGCCGGTGCCGTCCGGATTTTGCGAAGGTGAAGCGAGGGAGACAGGCGAAAGATCATTAACAGCACGGTTACCTTCGAAAGCAAACCAGTTTGAGTTTGTGAACAGAGAGCTGCAGAGAGAGCACAAGAAAGCAAACATATTAGATAATGCAGGAAGCAGATCAGAACCATTTGGTATGGATTCCATAGAAGAAGATAATAGCAGATTAGGAAGCGCGTTTATTGTACCTATCGTGATCATCACCCAAACGCAGGGCTGAAATTACAACTTCTGCAGATTCATCATCAAAGTGAACATCCTGCATCATATACTAGTTCAACTATAAAAGATTCCTAGAAAAGAAAATTATCCGAGAGTTATCTGATAATTTTTTTATTAGAATGGATCTCATAGCTATTGGATTTGTTTTGAGATAAGTGAAATACAGATTTTAATTAATTTTTTTTAGTATTGTATAAATCTTAAAGTACATCAAATAATTTTGAGACATATCATGACCCACATTTGGCGATAATATCCTTGACTCAAAAATTTCGTATGATTCCTTGTGGAAGGCAAAAATGAATTAAAGGACATAAAAGTTTAAAATTCATCAAACCTCCAATATATATATATATATATATATATATAGGTATGTGCGTACCTCTTTATCATGCTCAAGTGATCCCTGAGCCTATATAAATTAAAAAAAAACATAATTAATCAACCGTCAATGAGGCATTTAGAAAAACATAGTTAAAAAGAATTTGATATTTAGAAACTAAGGTAGATGATTTAAAAAAAAAAAATGTAATAAGATGCTAATATAAGAGCCTCAATAACTAGTGTTTTGGCCTCAATGGAACCAGTAACACAGCATGGTACTACACTTACACTAACTTCTGAGGGGACTGCACATAGTATCAAAAGCATTATAAGTTATTCTAAGCATTAAAGAAGTAATAAATAAATAAACTGTTTAATAAATTGCGACCAAAACCTAATGAGGAAGGCAACTGGAAGCTCAAATATGCCCAGGTGAGCAAAGATTCAAAGCTTCAAGGAAAAAAGTTGGCGAAAAATTGGATATTAAATCAAGAAAATTTCCTTGCTTATAAAACTATGGCAACCACACCATGAACCGAAGTTAAGGAACTTTGCATTCCATTTTGAAAATAAAGTACTATTCACAACTATATAATCCAATCAGCAGTAGAGCGGAGCATGGCCACATCTACAGTTCATGGTAATTAACAAAATGAGTTGAGCCAAACAAAAGATCTTTTAACTGTTCGTAGGTGAATGTACTGGAGATTTAAGGTCCAAGTCCAGTTTCCAAGCTCACCTTAACAAACTCTGCAATCCAGTTCTTAGAGAATTCTGCAAGCTCTTCATATAAGAATTAAGTAAGCTTTCCCCGTGCTTATGCGTTAGTTTGAAAAAGTCATTCTCCTTATCTTTCAAAAATATAATATGAACTTCAACATTGTACTTTAATTGAATAGAAAAAAAGTTTATCTCCGTATTTTTTCTTCCATTGCAGGTAGTGTGATCCCTTAGTCTAAGCTTAGCTTGTAAAACTATCAGTCCCTTCTCAAAATCCTCACATCCTGTCCTAGTGGCGCTCCAGCTACACTTGTCACTACGCCCAATCGTGCATGCAGCTTGCGTTGGTATGCTCACTAGGCGCTTTACATACATCACCTTGGCTTGATCAACTGTCATCCTCATTCTCATAGTCATTCTCAAGGGCTATTTGCACGTGTTATATTGCCGTGCTCTAAAGTCCCACTTCCCTTTACGCTCACGACCTCACATCAATGAGTTCAACTTCAACCCATCTAAGGGCATCCCCACTTTGAGGAGAAATTATTACATGCAGACGTCAGACGTAGAGCTACGTTTGGACTCCAATAAAAATATGATGTGTGGATTAGTGTATTACTATGTATTACAATGTAATATTGTGTATTTAACAATGTATTTATGTGTATTTTTATGAACTAATACACAGCAACACAACCAATACACAACAATATTGTTGTGTATTAAATGTGTATTGCTATATATTAGCTAATACGCAAGTAAATAAACAGTGATACAAAATAATACATAGTGATACTGGAGGCGAGCACAAAGGGGGGCGGAAATAGGAAGGTATGGCAGCACATAAGTGGGGCCCAAGCATTGATGGGATTAGGGGGGAAAATTCAAATGTGGAGGGTTGTTTAGGGATTATGCATTAAATATTTGTATTGTGCTTTAAGCATTCTCCTTTTAGCTAGGGTTATATTGAATTTGAGCTGAAATTTGAGATCTCTTGTGTTTGCTTTTGGGGCTCTAAGCTTGAGCTAGAGTTTGGAGAGTGGAATCTTCCTCTTGAATTGAAGATTCATTGTACCGGAGTGTTTCTTTTCAACTATTAGTGATTCTTGTTGTTTTTCTCAGAATTTCTATAGGTTTTTCTTATTTTGGTGGTTGTTTTCTATCAAATAAGTATCAGAGCACAACGATCTAAAGGGAATCAATGGCCGGAAGGAAAGTGGAAGTTTTGGAGAGAGAACTTGGGCAACTCAAATCATATTTTGAGGAGAAAATTTCCGATTTTCAAAATCAGATCGTGTCCGTCAAGGAAAGAAAGGAAGGAAAGTTCACCGTGGTGGAAGAGATGTTGAAGAAATTGCTTGAAGCCAAAACAAATCCGACAACATTGGAAGCAAAGGAAACCATCGATGGCCATGGGAGAGGTGGAAGCCCTAATCCTTTTAGGGTTAGGGAAAGTTCAGAAGTAAAAATTCTGGAGGGAGAAGATGGGATGCCTCCGCTAAAGCCATTTTCTAGGGAGGAGAGAAGCGTGGGTACGAATGAAGAGGTGCTGATTTTGCAAGGTGAAGGGAGGGTTATGATCACCGGGCTGCTGATTTTGAAAGGAGGAGAGGGCATTTTGAAGAAGGTTTTGGGTATGAGCGTCAAAGGGAAGAGCGTGACAATTTGGGAGCACCAACTTTTCGAAGAACGGGGGGATACGAAGGATTCAAGGGAAACGGGGGTGACCCAAGGATAAGGAAGTTGAATATGCCCATCTTTGAAGGCAAAGATGCCCATGGGTAGATATACAAGGTAGAGTGATCCTTTATGATAAATGGGCTTACGGAGGAAGAGAAATTGATAGCAGTTGGATTGTGCTTGGAAGGAAAAGGGCTGGCATGGTATCATTGGAGGGATATGAGGCGACCCATCCGGAGTTAGAGAGTTCAAGGATTGATTACTAGAACATTTCTGAACCAGTAGGGGAGGAAACTTCTACGAACAGTTCTTCGCCCTAATGCAGGAGAGGACTGTGGCAAAGTAGCATGATCGGTTTGAGTACCTAGCTAGCAGGCTAAATCAGCTTTCTGAGACCGTATTAAAGGGGAACTTCATAAAGGGACTCAAACCAGAGATCAAAGCAGCTGTGAGAGTAATGAGACAGCATGAATTGGGGGAAGCCATGGAGTCGGCACAGTTGGTCGAGAACCAAAAGCCTATGGAGAGGGGGGCTAGAGGCAGTAGCTCTGGGGGATCATACAGGATGACTACCACTTTTTTAGCTCCCAAAGGAGCTACACCGAGAGGTTTGCGTGAAGTATCAAAGGAGAAGTCTGGAGGGGAATTTAGGGGAAATTTCAAGAAGTTTACTGAGTTGCAGGAGAAGCAATTAAGGGGGTTGTGCTTCAAATGTGATGAGCAGTACATGCCAGGGCATAGGTGTAAAGACTGAACTCTTCAGGTTCTCACCATCTGTGATGAAAAGGAAACTGAAGAGGGAGGAGAGAGCGGAAAATGGTAGAGGAAGAGAAGAAGTTGCATTTGGATGAGGCGAAAGTCTCTCTAAACTCAGTGGTGGGATTCACCCCGAATCACACCATAAAAGTGAAGGGAGAAATAGCTGACCATGAGATGGAAATGCTGATCGACAGTGGGGCAACCCACAATTTCATCTCTAATCAGATTGTGGATATGTTAGGAGTGAAATTAGTGGATACTGGGGGCTACGAGGTGATGATGAGAACATGAAAGGTGGAGATGGCTAGATGAGTATGTAGGGGAGTAGTGTTGACTATTCATGGGATCCAGGTGAGGGAGGACTTCCTCCCATTGGAGTTGGGAAGCGCGGATGTCATCTTGTAGATGAAGTGGCTATAGACCTTGCGGGATACCAAGGTCAATTGAGGAGCACTGTAGCTGGAGCTGGTGGTAGGGGAAAGAGGATGGTGATTCAAGGCGACGCCAAGTTGTCTAAGGCGGGGGTATCTCTCAAATCTCTAATCAGGACCATACAGGAGGTGTGAGGAGGATTTTTGGTGGAATTACAGTGCTTGGAAGTGGTTAGACTGGAGGATGTGGAAGGTATTCCTACAATAGTTCAACCGCTCATAGAGCAATTCAATGAGGTCTTTCAATCCCCCTAGGACCTACCACCACAGAGGGAGCTAGAGCATGTCATTACCTTGAAGGGATGGGTGTCACCGATTAGTATTCGACCGTACCTGATGTAGGCAAGGGAGGGGTCAAAACAAGTTGGGTTTTAAATTTTGTGAGTTTCTTTATCTCTACTAAAAAATCAGCTCATTAATGAGTTTCTTCTTCTTTTTCGGCTCATTAATATCTAGTAGAGAGCCTTTTAAGCTCATAAATTGAAGATTAATTAGATTCATCCCCTCCTTGTGGCTCTTAGGTTTCTTCCCTTGCCTTTATTTATGACTTTTGGATTTTTTCTTATGTCTCTTTGATTTCTCCACTAGTACCTCTTCTACTTCCCCTTGTCTATTCATTTCCTGCGCCGGCTGGTTGTTTTTCGTGCCTTTGTCCCTTGGATTCCCATGGCTAGCTTGAGGTTTTCTGTGCTGGAAGCTTTCCCGTGCCATGGCCCCTTGGTTCCCACGATTTGCTTTTGGTTTCCTGTGCTGGCTGGTTGTTTCCCGTGCCTTTTCCCCTTGTTTCCTGCGGCTTTGCTGCTTGGTTCCCAATGCTTTTCTTCTCTGTTTGCTGTGCCATTTGGGAACTAGTGTTATGTGGTTGTTGGCCTTCCATTTGCTGCAGTTTTTGGACTGTTTTTGGGGACTGATTTGGTGGTTGTTTGGGGGGGAATTCCAAGAGTTTTCCCTGTTTTCTATGCAGTTTTTCTACTGCAGTTTTTATGGGATTTTGTACTGTTTTAGTGGTTGTTTGTATTCCTTCTCATGCCTATATATAGAAGATGTTTGTGGGTGTTTTAGGAGGTGAAAAAATGTTATTTTTGGAGTAAGAAAACCTGAGGGTTTTTTGGAAAAGCTTGAGAGCTTTGTCCACTTCTTCTTCTCTTCTTCTAGGAAGGCTTGCGAGCTTCTCCACCCTTCGTCTTGGCTTCTAACCTCTTTCTTCTCGCCGCAAGTGACCACCCCATCTGTATCCTTCTTCTCAAAGAAATGCAACTTTAGGTGTTTGTCTTTATTGCGTCGTTTGTAAGAGTCAAAAGTTTGTAAGTTATCTTTTATTATAAAAAGTGTCTTTTGAGTATTTTTCAGTATTTTTATGTCTTTTATATTATCAAGAGAAGTGTCTATGGATTTAATAGATGACCTACCACGATCGGAGGGATTCATATTCCTTATGGTAGTGGTGAACAAGCTGAGTAAGTATGCATATTTCATCCACTTACGACACCGCTACACCGCAGTGACAGTGGCAACAACATTTATCTGGGAGGTGGTTAGACTGCATGGGATTCTTGAATCGATAGTTTCTGATTGAGACAAGGTGTTTCTCAGCCAGTTTTGAAAGGAGTTGTATAGGATACATGGAACAGTTCTCAAGATAAGCACTGCTTACCACCCGCAGATGAAAGGACAAACAGAGGTTGCCAACAAAGAGCCTAGAGACTTACTTGAGGTGCTTTTCTTCAGAAACACCACGGATGTAGACCAAATGGTTAGCCTGGGCCGAATATTAGTACAATACCTCATAATACTCAGCGTCTCAGATGACCCCTTTCAAAGTCCTGTATGGAAGAGAGACCCCACACTTAGTACAATTTGGGAAATGAAGCATATCAGTTTCCTCAGTATAGCAGTACTTGGAGGAAAGGGATAGGGTGTTGGAGGATTTAAAGAAACATCTGTTGAGGGCATAGCATATCATGAAGAAGCAGGCATATACACATAGGAGAGACATCCAGTTTGAAGTGGGGAAGAATGTGTTCTTAAAACTGCGGCCTTAAAGACAGAAGACAGTGGCCAATAGAAGAAATGAGACATTCTCCCCGAAGTAATTTGGCCCCTACGAGATATTGGATAAGATTGGAACAGTGGCATACCATTTGAAATTACCCCCATCTGCCACCATACATCCAGTCTTTCATGTGTCATAGTTGAGGAGAGCTCTTAGGGAGCATGCAGTTAGTGTAGATTTACCAGCAACTTTGACAAAGGAATTGGAAGTGATCCATGAACCACTGGAGCTAAAAGGGGTGCGGTTTGATAAAGAGGGGAACAAAGAAGTTATTATTAAATGAAGGGCATTCCTAACTTTGACGCTACTTGGGAACCATATGAGAGGGTGAAGCATCAATTTCTCTCATTTCACCTTGAGGACAAGGTGAGTCTTTGGGAGAAGAATAATGTTAGGGCTCAACCTGAACCGGTCCCTCCTGGACCAGTTTGCTATGGGAGGCGAGCCCTAGGGGAAGGGAGGGAAACGCATGGGTGGAGCCCAAGCATTAATAGGAGCTTGGGTTTATAAGGGAAAATTCAAATGTGGAGAGCTATTTAGGGATTATGGATTAAATAATTGTATTGTGCTTTAAGTATTCTCCTTTTGACTAGGGTTAGGGTTATCTTGAATTTGAGCTGAAATTTGAGATCTCTTGTGTTTGATTTTGGGGCTCTAAGCTTGAGCTAGAGTTTGGAGAGTGGAATCTTCCTCTTGAATTGAAGATTCATTGTATCGGAGTGTTTCTTTTCAATTATTAGTGAATTTCAAGTGTTGTTTGTGGAATTTCCCTACAGCTTTTCATCAAAATCTGCTCATTCTTGCTATTTTTCTATGAATTTTTGCATGTTTTCCTTATTTTGGTGGCTACTTTCTATCAGTAGGCTAATGAACATACAAGAGGGGTAAATTTTAAGCTCAGAGATATGGTTTACCTAAAATTGAAGCCCTAAAGGCAAAAAATACTAGCTAGGAGGAATGAAAAGTTATCCCCACGATACTTTAGACCTTATGAGAGCTTGGAGCGCATTGGAGCAGTAGCCTATCGCTTAATACTACCACCCTTGTCAGCTTTCCACCCAGTATTTCATGTCTCACAGTTAAGGAAAGCGATAGGAGAGCAACTACCGTCACGGTAATTCCAACTTTGACTAAGGACATGGAGGTTATTTTGGAATCTCTGGAAGTAACGGGGGTGCGCAGAGGAGAGAATGGGGCACGAGAGGTGCTAATCAAGTGGAAGGATGTGCCCCAGCATGACGCCGCATGGGAGCTATACGAGACAATTAGAAGACAGTTTTTTACCTTCCCACCTTGAGGACGAGGTAGATTTTGAGGAGGGGAATATTGTTACATGGGAAAATGCAGCAGGTTCAGCCCCCCTTGTGGGGCCCAACAAAGATTTAGTTAAATATGCTATGAAAGGAAATAAGGAGGGAAATAAGAAAGGAAAGAGTTCTAATTTTGAAATAGAGAAAGAGAGGGAAATTAATTAAGGGGACTATTTTTGGGGGGAATTAGGGAGCTTATTTAGGGTTGATTCTAGGGTTTATTTTTCATGTTTTGTTTGAAGAGTTTGTAGTAGTTTTTTTTTTTTAGTTTTCTTGAAGGCTTCCTATCGGCGTCTAGGTCAAGTGGGAGAGACGATCTACCCTTCTAATAGTAGATAATTGTATCTTATTTTGGTGTTGAAGTTTTATTACAAAAATTAGCCATCGTTTCTCAATTTATGTTGTTTTACTATCTTTTTTTTGTTGATTTTGTCTTCAAGGCGTATCATATGCTTGATATTCTTTGGATATCTTTAACCTGCTCAATATGCAGAAATTTTTATACATGCAATTATAATAGGTTAAGGAAATCGTAACATGTGCAAACTTTAGTCCTATGAACCATTCAGCTATTATATTATTAGTTTAGTATAGCAACGGTATAATAAAATCCTCCTAGAGATGGATTTCCTTATTTTTCTTTAACAGAAGCCTAGATCTTTCATAAACAACATAAAAATAAAGATTTCATTGACTTATAATGCTTTCCAATTCAATAATTTGATTTAACATAAGTTGAACTTAAATAATCTTTTATCTCAAAATGCTTTCCCTCAACAAACATTTTAATTCCCATAACACGAACCACAATTGATTCGTAAAAAAATGTCCAAAAATTCTTTACCTTGACTTTTTCTTTCTTCCTCCTTTTTCTTTCCCTAGCCCTTTCTCTATTTTTCTCCAGCTGCTTTCTCTATTTTTCTCCAGCTGCCATAATACCCGAACAGAATTTCCCAATTCTCTGTTCGGCCACCCAGCTCCAGTCCACCTCCTTCTTCCCCATATATATTTACTTAATTAAATTCCCCCTTAAGTCCACCGCCATCCAAAAGCTCCTCAGCTGCTGCCGCCTTAGAGAAAATTCAGGAGAAGTTTGATAGCTATAATATAGTAAGCTTTACTACACTATTTTTAATTAAAAACTTATAAATTTTAATTGAAATGATAGATAATTATATAATCAATTGCCGTTGTATTGTTTATATATAATTATATACATCTACATATCAAAATGATCGGATTGAAGTATATAATGTAAGAAAAATAATTTCAACAAAATTCAAAACATGCAAAAAAAATGAAATATAACTTACGGGAGAAGTTTCCTCTCATTTTATTGAAAAAGTGGGTGTCACCACGATTCTCAAATGAATGCAGCATCAACGGGGCCTTATGGTAATCTCTTGGCTAAGTTATAGAAGTAAGTGGAAGAAATGAAAAAAGAACAAATTGAAGAGAAACAGAGGACAGCTGAGAACAAAACGGAAAGAGGAAGAATGAACCTTAGCTAGGGAGAAAAAGAGCAAGAGTGGATGCGGGGAGCACAGTAGAAAAAGATATTGAGAAAGAGGAGATATAAAATGGGGGAGGGAAGACCCATCTCTGGCACAAGGGAGAAGGGGAAACCATCCATGGAAAGATTCAATTCCAATTACTTGATCAATATCAATCATCATTTGTATCACCAAGACACCGTCTTTGTAAAACAGTGTTCTAATTAGCAAATGTCTATAACACTAATGAGAATACTAATAATGCTCAGTGACACTAGAACTAACAAGACTAGTTACAACCAAGATAAGAAAGATAAAACAAATCTACTAAAATAATGATACAGCCATCGATCTAGGACAAAGTCCAGCAAATCTACTCATGGCTCGCCATAACAGGCCATCTCATGCCCATGTATTTTGCCAAAAAAAGACATGTTTTCCATGGTTAATACTTAATAGAAAGGTAATCACACTTAAGCTAGAAAATAAATCAGAAAAATTTTAAACAAAAAGAGGAAACCCCTAGTAAAATAAACTAGTTCACTGTTTCTTGCACATTAAGATTGCATATAATAACTAAAAACCCATAACAAATTAAAAGATAATAGCTATTAAAAAGAACATAGACACCAAAATGGCAAAATAATTAGCTAACTAATATTGATTATTTGAATTTAAACTGCAACAAAAAAAGATGAACCACTTCAAGCAAACTACCCTGCAGAATTTGTCTATTATGATGTTCATGTCAAACAAAAAAAAGTGTTTAGGGCAATTTAAAGAATAAAGCAAATACAAAAACTGAACCATTGCCACCGCAAAAAGATGAGTTAAATAAATAAGTGTATGAAAGTTGGCTTCAATGAATGCCGTTTGAACAACTTATGCGTACCTCTTCAATGACATCATTGTCATATATATTGTACCGAAATGCCTGGCTCAAGTTACTAGCCAATGTTGCCACATCATAGTCATCTCTATCTCTCAAGTCTTCATCATCACTATCCCTTACTCGATCATGCAAAGAACTTGGACGCCTTCAAAAACGGTTTAATAAATCAGATTTAATATCTAATGATGGGCATAAGAGAAAAAACTGAGCCGGTAAATAGATGAAAGGATGAGACCCAGGATAAAAGCGGCACTAACCACACAGAAAGCCGCAAGGACCAGGAAAAGTATAAAAAAATGCAAGTTCAAGAAACCAAAGTCATATTTACGAAAACATGAAATTTTCTAGACAAACTTATCAAAAAGGCTAAGCCGACCCTGGTATATTTTGATATAAATGGCAATCACGCAGATATTCTAGGTAGAATGTACAAGCATATGTAGTACCAAATAATATATATAGCCGTAAGAAAAAGCAGATGGTATCAACTAATCTATAAAAAGCAAGTGTGACATGTGAATATAGATAAGTTCTAAAAAAATTAATGATGCTAAAACTAGCACTTAGCATCAACGATATATCAATTATTTCAGGGAAAAGTCAATGGCCCCAATCAGATGTGCCGGCATAAATATAAATAGGTTCATATTTAGCTCCATCTATGTCCAAAATAAATGCCTCCTACCCTAATGGAAATTTTACAGCTTTAGAGTATATTGAATTTTAAAAAGAACACAAACATTTCTTAAAAAGGTAATTAACATTATGATTGTGGGCTCCGAAAATTCGGCCCCGGCCTCCGCCAGCTATTGCTTTTTTTCGGGGGGAGTTTTAACGGATTAAGTTCCGGGGTAAATTTTGGAAGGCATATGGATTTATAGATAAGACACTACCCAGAGATTTCGCCCATATTTTGCGAGGACTTTATGATCTGAGTTCTAGTTCCTTATAGGCGCAAGCCCCTATAGTTAATTACCCCTCCCGATCACGAGAGAGAACTTTCGATTAAGGCTAGTCGTCAATCAGAAACGTAGAAATACATAGTATCTGGCATATAGTAACAGCATGAGCATATGATAATGGAAAATTGGATGTTGGAGGTTCAAGGTTTGATATTTAAAATAGAAATTTTCACCATCTTGCACTTAAAACGGATGGTGTGGGAATTGATGATGGACCCGATCAAGATCCCATGGTTTTGTCGTCCCGGGCCATCGTGATCCCTGGTCTACTTAGTCAGAGGAGGTAGTCGACCCAACCTGACAGAATCGCAGCCATGGGTTGCTTCGTCCAAGGGGACCTTATAGACCTGAGGTGTGTTTGTCTAAGGGGACAAATTTAATCCACCTTAGCTAAAAAGGGGCTTTATGCCCTATCGATTACATATTGATTCATATCTCAAGGATTTGATGCCACTAAGGAGCGTATTGGCTCTGGCTATAACTGGTATTTCATGGTGCCATTTGGCGGTAAAATCACTCGGTTCAGAGGGCCCCAAGTCATAACCGTTTATCCTGCGATGTCATTTGGCGGCAAAACCGCCGGTTAGAGGACACATACCACGTCCTTACTGGCAGGTGATTGTTTGAGAATGGATCCTAGTAATATTTTCGACTAGGCATTAGCTCTTTGTGAGCTGAAGTAGTTTTTAATTTGTTCACCCCGGTAAATTATTGCGGAGTGTGGATGGATTTTGCTTTAAGTGTTCGATGGATTATTTTAATTTTAAATATTTTTGGAATTTGAGATTTGGATGATCTTTGGATTTCAGAACTTGTGGAGTTTTGGATTTTCGGGCAATTGGATGGAATTTGAAAATATTTGTGAATCCCTCCTATTGAGATTTGCATTCAACACGGCCATCATCGAGATATTTGGGGTCATTTCCATTTGTAGCTTGAACCTTATCGACCCTATCAACTTGCCGATAGTGGATCGAGATTCATAGCTTTATGTTTTTATTAGTGAATTCATATTATTATAGGCCTTGAAGGCCTAATATAAATGTATTAAGACAAATATATAGGTCGCCGCAACCGTATATTTATTTGATGATTCAAACCATGTCGACTCCTATTGATCCGCATAGAAGGATCGGGTTCGAACTTGAATTCACTTATTGACCTGTGAAGCATCTCTAGACGTCACGTGTGTGCCCATAACACGCTCATCGGGGCCCATGCGGGTGTTTTGGCGGCATTTTATAGTTATTTGTTGAACATTGTCGACTCCTATTTACATGTTTAGGAAGATCATGTTCAAATTTATTGACCCGTGGAACATCCCTAGACGTCACGTGTATGAATACATCACGCTCGTCGGGGCCCATGCGGGTGTTTGTAATTGTACTTACCCCTTATGTACCTATGTGTATACAAACTACGGTGCACGTGTGAGGGTATTTTGCAATATTTTTAAACGTCTACTGTCATCTTGTATGAATGTTGCAGATCCAGTGGCGTGTTGTAGCAGCTTATGGATTGAGTTATTTGTTGCTTTATACAGGTAAACTGTCGTGCACTTTTTGCATGATTTAGCAGGTAAATTGTAGTGCACTAATTAATCTCCTGCTTCTGGATATAGGTGAATCATAGCGTTGTCACCTGAATTTCACGAGATATTTTATTGTTCTGATACAGACTCCCTTTTCTCATTCACCGGGAGGTCTTTCTAGACTTTGAAATCAGTGACCACTGCCTTGAAAAGAACTCTTTTCAAGATCTTTAATATAGTAGACTTGTTATTTTCGGTGTTTGTAGATGCAAGAATTGTTTTCTTCCTAAGTACAAGACCAAGAAGAAATTTTGGAACACTAGGAAGTTTAGTTCGAATTTGCTCAAACATCTCTTCAATTCTTCCAGAAGGTGTCCTTTTTCGTACATCGAGTTGTCTTCATACCCGACATACTTTGCAGCATTTTAATCACCGCTGTTGATGGTGATATCTGCACTTGTGTCCACAATGGTTCGTTGTACTTATGATTACCCACTGTTGTTATCCACAAGCAGCTCGTGTGTATTTACGGGGGCCCGCTGTATTCACAGCGACTTCCTGGAGGTGTTCAGAGGAGCCATTGTTCCTGCATCATATCCACCTTTCACCAATCTCAGCCTCTCAGGTGGGCGATGATGATTGCACTTGTTTGTAGGGACAGGTCTTCCACTATCGAGTGGTAGTATTGCCATCTCAATCTACAGGCAATGTTACTTGTGTTGGAGATCTCAATAGCGTGTATAGGACACACATGCATTCTACAACCATTTGTTGTTCTTGCAGGTATGATGCACCTGATCTTATAGAGACTGTTGTAGGAGTCCACTACATTCTTTGCTTATACGCATCGAAGTCTCGTAGTGTGCCTGCTTGTACTTCGATGTTGGTTATGAGGATGTTGCAATATCCTTTGTACAATAACTCACTGGTGTTTGTACTTGACGCATCTTAACCACATTCATTTGAGTTCTTTGTATTGATTTACTTTATTCAAGTTCAATTTCACTAAAGTCTTGTATGTTGTTATGAATTCAGCTCTTTGTACTCCATTCAAATTCAAGTCCCTTGAGTCCCTTGTTATTCTTGAAAGCTAAGGATCTTTATTGTTCATATCAAGTTTGAATTTAGTTTGAGTTTAATATGCAAGTTCACTTGCAAGTCCAGTGCGTATGTGCCACGCCACATCAAAGTTCTTGTTCTTTACATCTTGTTCCAGTTTTGTGTTCAGAGTACATGTTCAAGTGCTTGTTCAAAGTATTCTAAAGTCTTTGCAGGTTCAATTTCATGTTCAAATTAATTTGAATTTGGCTTCAGTTTGAACTTATTTTATTTGGGTTTGACATTTTATTCATCATTTAAATTTTGCTCAAGTTCAGGTCCATAACTCCACTGCTCATGCTCATTTAAGTCAAAATCCTTGTTATTTGGAGTTCAAATCAGGTCCAAATGCAGTCTTACATTTACCAGAAATTTCGGCAACCTCCCGACGTCACCCCTGTTTAGGGAAAAACTACGGAAAATTGTACCTCCCGTCACGCTAGAGAAAAACATGTACGATAGGTGCCCTCATACGAGGACACCGCGGCCGTAAAATATGTCCCCAGCACGTTAAGAAAAGCGTGTATGAGTCTTCTACAGGTATCTGTTACAAGAGAAAAGCAGTTGTTTCCCCGCATGTACAGAGTCGTGTACGGGTACTTAAGAGTTGTCCTAGTCATGCTAAGAAAAGCGTACACCAGGCTTACCTGCCTCGTCGTATGAGTCGCACCGGATTCCCTCCTACCACGCTAAGAAAATCGTGTATAGGTGGTTAGCCGGCTCGTCACACACGCCGAGGGCAGGATTTTGGGGCCGAGGGGTCGCTCACCTACCTCGTCGTAGGTGTCGCACTGGGTTCCCTTCCCACCACGCTAGAAAAAAGCGTGTATGGGCGGTTTGCCGTTGCTTCCGATCAATATGTTGTGACTTCCGGTCCACAGGAAGGGACGCCGTCGGAGGGGGCATAGTCGAACAGCCAAGGGGGAGCCGGAGAAGCGTGCTCCCGTTCTTGCTTCCGATCAAAATGTCGGGATTTCCGACCCAACAAGAAAGGGAAAGTCCTTGGAGAGCGAAGCCGAACGTCTACGAAGGAGTCAGAGAAGCAATTGAAAGGGAGAAAGTTGCCATCACAGCCGCGAGCTCCCGTAGTCGCCTGCTATCAAATGTCCTGACTTCCGATCCGATCGGAAGGGGAAGTCGTCGAAGGGACGACGTCGGGCGACCGCGAAGGAGCGGAGTGGAACATCTACGAAGAACCGAAGTAGCGACCCCGGCAATCTCTACACCTCCTGTGAAGCCACAAAGCCGAACAACAACGGAGAAGCGCGCGAGAGGAAGAAACGAGTGCGAGAGAGAGGGCCGAGACCGAAGGCCTCGTTCTGTTGCCTTTTTATCGACGTGAGCTGGTCGTGCGAAGAAGCGACATCGGCATGGCCTCTTCGTGCGAACGTGTGACATGCGGGATGGCTTCGGCAGAGGGCAGATAAGCGATTTTGTTTTTTTTTTTTTTTTTATCTTGCAGGTCAACAATGATCTTGAACAAAAATAAAGCAAAGCCGTATAATGACGAGCAGGATATATAAATCTTAAGATTTGACTTCGGAAAAATTATAATTATTGGCACTATGAGTGTCAGAAAGCAATAGAAAAAAATGAATTTACAGAAAATTACAATAATTTGAAAATCTGAGAAGGCATTATCCTATTTATACTTCACCTTTTAAATGATAATTCTGCAAAATCAATCTAGAGCCTGTCATTGGAGCCAACTAAATTTTTTCCATGATGGAAATAATGATCAATAACCTAAGAAGAAAGGCGAGGAGCATGACAATAGACGAGTTTTAGAAAGTAGCCCCATCAAAAAAGGTCTCATTTCACTAGGAAAAACATACAAAATCAACATTTCAGAGTTTAATGAAAAAATAAACGGTCATTGGTATTTATCAAACATAAGCAAACCTAAAATGCACAAGGTTTCTGTCAACTGCATGTGAAGGGGTTTATGCTTACTTAATGAAAGTTTATTTCATACTGAATTATATATGGATGTCAGGTATAAAACAGCATCAATGACTGCATACTGATAATAAGCTGGGTTGGGCAAAAATATTAGATGCCATGAGGCGTCAGTTTACACTTAAGGCTTATGCATAACAAAAACCATGCTTACATGAGGTTAATCCCTAGGTTATAAAACAGCATCACATTATTTTTATTAATCTTAAGAAAAGATATAACCAAGTATCAGTCGAACTAAGTTTGTGTGTATTGAGTTAAAAAAAATGTGAGTTGAAATTATGATGAAACAATTAAAGATATGTGCAAGCGTGATGGAGCATTGAAAAGTATAAAAAATCAATGTGGGTGTAACCAAGAGTTTCCAATTATAAAAGGATTACATTAATATCAGTTTTAAGAGCATATATTGGTTTAAATTCACACAATTAGAGGCCCGAACCAACGGTTGACCCGACGCAATTTAAAAAAAAACGAGGCATAGACCTCACTTGGGGTGAGGTGCACTTTAATGAACTCTTCAATGCAATTTTGAAGAAACATCAAAAATTAAGATTTAAGTAAATTTAAATTTCTAATATATATATATATATATATAAGCCAATTTATTATAAATAAAACAAATTCAACTTAAGAAAAATCGCACGACCTCAAGCTTATCACTGCATGCAGCAAGACCCTCATGTCTGCATGAGATCCTGTCGCAACGCCATAGCTTCTCCTCCAACGCCTATCCTCTTGTTGTTTGAAAACCATTTTTTATTTTTAATATGAGATAGGAGAAAAAAAATTAACTATAATAATGATTGTAGTGAAAACCCTCCAAGTGAAGAGAGTGTGAGGGAGTTTTAAATTTATAGATTATGACCTTAAACTACTTATTTATGTTGATCTAAAAGTGGAAGAGATTATTTATTCAATATTATTTATAATCTTGAGCAATTTTTAATAATCTTACTTGGACTTCTTATGATTTTACCTTAACATCTTCCTTAAATATTAGTATGTTACTTATTATTTCATATCTTTTCTTAATTTAATAATTTAAGTATGAGGCTTAAACCTCTTTTTATGAAAGATAACACCACAAAACCCAATGGTGCAATTTTAAACCTTTATATATTTTTTATATTACTTATGGTGGTGTGACTTAATGTGATTGCTAATATTAATAAAAATACTATTAGAAAATTAAGTTATGCTTTGATTTGACAGTTAGAGAATCTTTGAACTACTAGGCAAAAGAATGCTCATAAGAAAATATATTATTTCAAGAGTTAAGATTTGGCGATGAAAATGATGAATTGCTTTTAAAAGTCATATGTTTTAATAGAAGATTATGAAGATTAAAAGTTAAATTTTATAAAACTCCAAATAAATCAACTGTGCCAAATAAATTTTAAATGTTGGTCGATAAAGAAGCAACTAATAGTCAAAAGAAGAGTTAAGATGCACATGTGGGAAACAAGCAGCTTAATAAATGATTATATAAAAGGGGCACATGGATTAGAATTTATTGGAAGTGAAAAATGGATGTTCGAGCATTTGGGCACGTACATGTACTGTTAAAGGGTTGTTACCGCTTCACTAAAATGGATAGGTGTAACACCGTGTAGCTCTCAAAATAGTAAAGATGGTTCAATTTTGCAAGAAGAAGAATTAAAAAAAATGAAGGAATAGGTTGAACACCATGTGCAGCCCTCATCAAACAAATAAAGAAGGAGAATTCATAAAGCTAAACCTACATCGTTCGGATAAGGATAATGACAATCATCAATAACAGTATTGAAATGACTCGATTAAGTGAAAAAAATGTGCACATGTTTCTAAACTAATGGATACATGAAATCCTTTCAATTTCTTCAAAATGCTTTCCTAAATGTTTTCATGCAAAATAATAATTAAGCAGGCACTTTAAGCAATTATCTCTAACAAATCTTCACGAAAAAGACTATAACAAGAAAATTAAAAATTCAAGAGCTAAAAATTGAAAATTGCAATACAAGAAAATCATGTAGCCTACCCACAAGCCCAATTGCAAACATTCTCCACTGAGTTTCGTTTAACAAGGACCTTCGCATGCCAATCAACCCATTCACTGTTTTCCTGTTAAAAACAAAACTACGTCATTTTTTCAACACAAGGACAACACAGTTCGCGTACAATCAGAATCTAGAAATGCACACTCCAATATGAAAAAGATCATAATGATAAAAGATCTATATGACAAAAAAAAAGGTTGTAATTCTTTAGGAAATGCCACAATCATAAATTATGCTTATAACTTAATATACTACTAGTTTATAATGGAAAAACGGGTATATGAGGAATGTAATAGAAAGCGGGGCAACATTATGATCTAAATCACAGAGAAATTGTGGAGAGATCTGGTTAAGATACCCAAAAACCCCCTAAATAGAAAGAGTACATAACACGACCTAGTTTGACTTTATATAGCAAAATATGCTGATCAAAACCAAACAAGGAAAGGTGTAGGATAATGTTTTGTACTGAACTCCAATAAATATAGAAAATGGCTGGCATCGATGATATATATATAGTGCAATAGTTACCGAACAAAAGCATTCTCATGTACAACAAGCAGCTCATAAATCGCCATGAAAATAAAAGATGCTGTGACAAGGATTTTACTTAATATGCTGATTAACCTGCAGATGTTTCTGTATTATTCCATAATTGTTTGCTTCCTGAACAAGTTTGTTAGCTATGCGTGTCAGATGTCCAATATTCCCAATCCTTGGAGGTGATCTTCCTTGTGCCAATACTGTTGGCTACGTGTAAAGAGTTGTGACCACACGAAATATTAATTAGTACAAGTTTTCATTCATCTTTTCTATTGGGATACTAAAAAGATGCAATTATTAAAGAAAAGCTACCTTGTTGCAATCTATTTGTAGTGCAGGCTGCTTTTCAACTTGAAGAATTTTACCAACAATGTCACACTCATGCAGAACATGCTCCACAAGTGAAGCTTTTTTACTTTCTAAACAGGAAACTATGATACTCTCCACTTTGTGATGTAAAAAGTTATTAAAAGGGTACCTACATGCCATGAAATGTTAAAAACAGAGAAAATAAGGGAAATCATACAGAAATGTGATTCTGTGGGGTGATTAGTTGTGCTGTCGCACAAGAGGAGCAACAGGTAGGATATTAAAGCCACTTACTCAAAAAATAAGTCTAGAGCATGTCTCAAAGCTCCTAGACGAATAAGTTCCTTCTCAGCATCTTTGCTTCCTAATGTGAACAAAATAGAAATGAACTCCACAATCTGAAAGACACAAGAAATTTTAAGCTGAAGTAGACTGGACAAAAAAAAAACGTTTGATGAGGTATGACTAGATACAAGAAATTTCAGATTAATTGACCACCCAATCTTACAAAGACTCAACAATCAAAACTATTCTAAAAAATAATTAACTCTTGAGCAAAAAACATTATAATTACTAAAAATCATACATTTGTAGACTTTTTTCTCATGAGATCATAATTATGGGCATCACACAATAGAGTAATTAGCAGAATACATGTTCAAGTACATACTAAAACACCAACCCAAGTGACACAGACAACAAGCTACACAGAGAGCTACATATAGCCATATTATTAACACTCAAGAGCAATTCAAGATAGATGAATACAAGAAACTAGACGTAAATAAATCTGCACCACTACAGCACAAAGCTAATTATTAAGTAGGTTTCTAGCCCAACAGTATGTGAAAATTTGAACGCAACTCAGAAAAATGCTTTTTTTTGTTGGCATGGTAAACAGAATTAAATTCTTTCTTGAATACTCCAACAGTATATCCCCAAAGTCAAGCGGTACGTGAACAAACCAAGTTGTACTGTAAAAGTTTTTATTTTTACAGGCACTACTCTGGGAATATCTAAACACATTTAAACGAGCAGTTAAAACTAATATTATAAACTAAAACGTATAGAGCATTTTAAATTGTAAACCTAAATGGGTCGAATGGAGATATTTCCAGCTCTAGACATGCAGTTAAGAAAACCATAAGGTCATGCGTGAGATAAACTCAGTAAAGATTCTCATTTTCCTTAGAATATAAATCATATACACTCAAAAGGAATAAAGTATTGAATAACATCCACTACCAGGATTTCAAACTTATATTTACAGTGAAAATAGAACAGCTACAGACATTGACTTCTATTATGGTACCTTCAAACGATGTTTCCCAAGGGGAGGCTTCAAGCAACCAAATGTGGAGGGCAAGTTGTCATCTGAAGTGGTAACATCCAACAGCTTCAACAAATATCCTTCATGAATAAGATTATTAGCAACGGCAAAGAAAGTTTTATAAGAAATTGCAAAAAAACTGAAGGAACCAAAAGCACAACATGCATCCCATGCAGCAAGCTATTAGAACACATCAGTCATGACAACATTGAACACTTGAAAAAAAAAACATTGAACACTTGAAATTTGAAACGTGAAATCTGCCCAAATAATTCTAGAAAAAAAAAGGAAGGAGAGCTTTATGGTATTTAAACTTGCCAAAAGATTTTCTAGAATCTTAAATCATAATGAGTTGATGGACACAAATGATCAAATATTCTTGGAAAAAGAAGATCTATTTTTACAATCAAGGTACAAAATAATAGAGCTAAAAAAACACCTGAATCCAAAATCCTAGTAATAAAGGGTGTTCATTTTCATCAACAATATCAACTTTTATTTAGAAGCCAACAACAAGGCAAAACATTGAATGGTCACTAAGCAAATAAGATAATAAATCGACCGTCTCCAGTTAAAGTAAGCAACCTTTTCTTCAGTTACCATCACCTCTAATCCTGATAAGAAATCCTCAATCTATCATGGCTAAACAATAGCCAGGTCCATGATCATAAGAAATTTAAGGTATCAATCATCTATATCGCGCAAAAGAAGAAGTGGCTAGGAAAGAGTGGCTTTCGTTATTATCCCAATAGGCATTATAGACAAAACTACTAAAAGAATGAAAGGAAACAACTAATTACAATAGCCAAAAAATACAAAAATAATCCCTAATAGTGCTTGTCCGCCCCATGGCTGTTGTCTAACCCCTACATGCCTACCGTTACATTCAATTATCCTTGCCAATTGATTGCAAGGGAGCAATCCAAGGCCTCGCGTTGTCTTTCTTTTGTGTATTAATTCATGGGAGGGATATTTACTGGTAAACAATGGATCAACGGACCCTTTCTTTCCTTTCCTAGCACTTGAAAAATCCTCCTCTTGTTTAGTCTGCCTTTCAACACTCCCACTCAATTTGGATGGCAGAGATTTACCATTCCAATTTTGCTTAAAATATTTTTTTAAGCCAATGTTGCAAAATCCTCTGATAAAAAAGTTAGCAAGTTGTCTTCCTGTTAAGACATATGAAGTGCAATCACGCCACTTTCTAACTTTCTTTTATGAAATATCCATCCACTTGCACATGTTTGGCACGACCATATTGTACAAAATTGTCAACAATGTTGATAGCAATTTTCTTATCATAATATATCTTCATAAGTTCTTCTCATTTAATTTTTAAATATTCTAAAATGATTTCAATCCGTAGCAATTCACAAATACCTTGCGCAATTACTCTAAATTTAGATTACACGCTAGATCTAAAAACTAAAAGTGGTTTATTGCTTCTCCATATCATTTAAGATTTTATCCTATAGGTGTATGATATCCTGAAGTGGATCTAGTATCAACTGATGACCCTCCATAGTCAGCATCAATATAACCTACAAGTTGTAAAGTGCCCTAATTTTTGTAGATAATCCATTTTTTGGGGCTTGATTTGAGGTACTTGAGAATCCTACAAGCAGCTCCAAAACAAATTCTTTTGGTTTATTTATGAATTTAACTTATGAGACTTATGGAAAAGGCCATGTAAAGACAAGTGCGTGAGATTTGCTTCCCAACTAACATTTGCTATTGTACATTGTCCACATTCATTGTTTCTTCATATATGTATAATTTATGGCTTAGTTTTGTTAGAGTTTCATATGACTCTCAATCAATCATTTTTGCTTCTTTTAATAGATCCGTAACATATTTTTGTTGAGAAAAAAAAATGATTGAAGAAACTTTACTTTTCATAAAAGATAACATCTTTTGAAGTGAATACTTTTTTAGTGGTAGAATAATAACAATTGTATCCTTTTAAACAGAGGAATACTCTTCAAAGACACATTGACAGCTCTAAGATTAAATTTATCCTGGTATTGTTTATAAATGCAGACATAAGCAATACACCCAAATATTTTTGGAGGAATTTATTAAGAGAATTGTTTAAACGAAAGAATTCCACAAGGTAGTTCAATAAACTTTTGAAACCAATTATTCTTAATAGCATTCGATTGAACAAGCATGTGGTGTTTAATTCTGCTTCTCCACAATATGTTTTTGGACATTGATTTAGAAAAAATAAATCTTAGCGATTTCCAGGAAGTAACAATTTTCTTCTCTGCCACCATTTTGTTGGGAGAATAGGAAGATTGGTGAATAATACCTTTTTTATTGAAGAAGAAGATAAAATCAAATTAAAATAATCACAAACATTATCTATGCAAAATATATTCATGTCAACACTAGAGAGATTTATCATAGGAATTAAGGTAGCAAGAATAGAGCTGTCATCATATGTTGGTTTAACAAAATATATCCATATCATCCGAGTGCAATCATAGTGATAAATCCTATGCTCCATAAATATTAAATATTTTTAAGGTCCCCAAATATCAAAATAAATTAACATAAAAGGAGTAGAGAATCTAAAATTATTTTTAGAAAACACGATGATGCTTTACGATTTCCCAAGCATCACAATGAAAGCCTTCAATGTTAACAAAAAGAGAAGGAAATATACATTATAAGATTTTGAAAGATGGATACCCTAACATATAATACTTTTCCCAAATGATTTTTGTATGTAGAGTGGATATGAAAGAATATTAAAAGTGATTTTCAAGAAGATATATAATATCCCTTACTCTAAATTGTTCAATCATCTTCCCCACAGTGAAACGCTAAAATACACAATGATTAGTACAGAAGATAACCATGTAGTTGTTCCGATTTTATGAATTGTTAGAAATTTTACTGCAATGTGAGAAAAATATAGTACATTGTTGAGAGAAATATGAATATTCCCTTGACTTGCAATAGTTGTTAGGCTACTTTTATTTACCTATTACTAAGGCAAAATTTGTGGATTGAAAAAGGTTGGCAAGATTTTTCATGTGATCAGCGGCTCTTAAATCTAGGATACATGTGTGAGGGAAACTATTTAAAGCATTAAAAACAAAATTAAAATGTGTGTCATTTCGAGTCAAAAAACATAACTAGATGCTTTTTCTAAGAACTGGGAAAGTTCTTGAGTTTATCGATTTCTTATAAGCTAACCACTTTTGATTCTATAAGTCAAGCCTGCCCTTTTGAGTGATCTTCATTGTTTCAACCTTGGGGCTTTCCATGAAGTTTTCCAATATTTTTCTTTAATGTGCCCATTTTCTTACAACAGTTGCACAATATATCGCCTTTGGAAGAAGATTTGTGTCATTATTTTAGCGAAGAATCATTGGCAGTAAGTCCTTTACCTTGAGTTTCGATGGTTGTCCTAATAGATGTTTTATAGATAAGGTCATTAAGCAATGCCATCCTTCTGATTTAGAAAACTTCATTTACAGATGATAGGTTGTCTGATTAAGATATGAACATGAACTTAGTCTAATTCATTGAATCCTTCAAGAAACTCAAAAACTCTTTCTATTTCTACAAAATATTTTAGAACCACGGCATCATCGCTACACTTCATCTTGAAATCTTAGTAATAGTCTAGTTCAAGCCAAAAAACCTTCATTATAATAAGATATTCAATGATAAGGAGGTATCCTATTTGTACGTCACAAATCTTAATTTAGATATCATAGATGAGACCTGCATTCTCTAAGTTTTGAGTATGTTTGTTTTACAGCATCCCAAATGTATTTTGTGATTGTTAAAAACATATATACCCACCAATTTCAGGCATCATGGTGTTCCAAAACCATGTCATGATCATAGAATATGCTTCATCCCAAAGAACAAACTTTGCATCTTTTGGTTCTAGAAGAGAATGAACAACATAATAGAATTTTCTCTTTCCTTTTCAGAAAATGCCTTCACAATTAGAGATCACTTCAAGTAGTTTCTTTTATTCAAACGATATGAGGCATGTAGCCCCTAGAGCTCTCCTTTAATATGATTTTCATGATTGACTCCTTGGAAGGGAAGACAAAGAAATCGAACATAATGAAAAGAAGTATAAAAAAAAGGAAAAACAAGAGTTAGAAAAGGAAAACCCTAAACTTGCTCTAATATCACGTAGAAAAGAAGTGGCTAGGAAAGGGTGGCTTGTTTATTATTCCAGTAGGTAGGGGTGCCAATTTAGGGTCACGGGTTGGGTTCGGGTCGAACCCGAAACTGACCCGGCGTTATTCGGGTCAACCCGAACACCCGTTTTGACAAACGAGTCAATTTTTCGGACACAAATCTAACCCACTTCGGGTCCGGGTCAACCCGACATGCCCGAATGACCCGGGACCTATGATGCATCGACACTTCTCCTCAAAGAGGCATGCAGTGTCCGACACCGTATCCGACACGATGCTCGCCCAACACTCCTCAGGCACATGTCGGACACGCCGAAAATGTGTCCGATTAAAAAATATTTAATACAAATTGGACACGCGTGTCCGAAACGCATATCTTAAATATTTTATGAATTTTTTTTAAATATAATTTCTTGTATTTGGCGAGATTTAAAATAAATTTATATTTCTTATCCACAACACCAAATCAACGTCCGCACTTAATATCCAATCATCAAATATTCTCATTTTTTATTTCTTTTTGGCATTAAAGGTATTTTCATCTCCTCTCTCGGTGACTGATAAACGGCATCGGCGTCTGACTCTCGACAACTTAATACTAATCATTTTAAGCACAAATTCTAGTTAAATGACTCATTATTTTAAATTATTTTTTAAAATTAAACTTATTTAATTTTTATACACTATTTTTTAAATATAAAACTATAATACCGTGTCCAATCCGTATCCGTGTCCTATATTTTCAATAAATGACGTGTCCTGTGTCCGTGTCGTGTCATATCCATGTCGCCGTGTCTGTGTATGTGCATCATAGCCCGGGACGAACCAAAAATTGCAAGTTTTCGAGTCAAAAAATGAGAATCTTTTCGGGTCAAAAATTGGTCAATTTTGGGTTACTGGGTCAACCCAAACCCGACCCGATTTTTGAAACGGGTCGATTTGCTGAACCTGAACCCAACCCGTTTCGGGTCCGGGTTGACCCGAACCCGGAATTTTCGGGTCGAGTTCAAGTCGAGTTTTCGGGTCGTGTCAAATATTGACACCCCTACCAGTAGCTATTCATGTACAAAACTACTCTAATAATAAAAGAAAATAACTAATTAACAACAAATAAAACAAATAACAAATCCTAACAGAGCTCTAATATCGAAGGTTCTTTTTTGTATGAAGAAGAATAAAATAGTTTAGTAGATGCATTAAATAAAAATATATCTCAGAAACATGGCAAATCCTTAAATAAGAGGAAAAAAATAACTTCAAAGAGTGCAAAATACATCAAGATGGTGTGGAGGTTCTCTGTGACAATGACATTAATGTCAACAAAGTGGATCGAGGATGATGCATGGCATCAGCAACTGAAGTTAAGAAGAGGGTGTGAATATTGACAATGACAAGCATGAAGAGCGATTGAAGAATAAGGAGAGAAAAAAGGGTAGAGGCAACAAACGGCTTACAAAGGATTCAGCGTTATAATTGTTATGTGTGGAATATGATTGTGTTGATCAATCTGGTCATTTTATTGTCTCAGGTCTCAAATTTTGTCGTTTATACTGAGGGGTGCGGGGGTTTACCCCTGCTTGGGTTCGGGTGCAATTGTGACGCCCCAAGATCTAACTTGGAAGAATTATTCTTTTAATCCATTAAACCATCAACTAGCAGAGCTATCTATAGTCATCAATAAGTATTAAACAGTCTAACAAAAATTCTACCCACCTCTTAATCAAATCCTACAGCTCTGATAATAATCAATTCTTCCAATAACACTGCTCTGATACCACTAAATTTGTGACGCCCCAAGATCTAACTTGGAAGAATTATTCTTTTAGACGCCACTTTTGGATTGTAAATATGAAATGTCGTAATGTGAATTATAGTATTTTGATGTATTTGTTTTCTTTAATGCAATTATCATTTCTAGATGTCTGTATTAATCTGTGCGAGAAGAAAGAATAAGAAGAAAAGTATGTCGATGAATCCTTTCACTATAGATGTCTGGGCCGTCACAGCAATGCCCCGACGCTGTGTACCTGAGCACCCCAACACTATGTTCCTGAGTGCCCTGACATTGAACGACAGAGAGCAAAACGCCATAGCAGTATAGATACAACGCTGCAACGGTGCAAGACAGAGACTTGAGCGCAGCAGCGCCCCAAACTAGCACTGCAGTGTTGCGAGACTGTTTTCGTTCTCATTTTCTAAAAAGTTGTGTCCCTTGGAGTTAGTCTTTATCTTGTATTTTCAGTTAGAGTAAGAGTAAGAACGGTGCCTGTGAGAAGAGAAGCAAGGCGAGAGTGAGAGAGAAGAGAGATCTATACTTTATTTATCCCAATTTTTAAAGTGGATTTCTAGGTGTGGTGTGGCTCCGTGATTTTTTCCCTGTTTTGAGTTTTTTCCACGTTAAATCCTGGTGTCCTCTACTTTTACGCTACTTTTACATTCTTGCTTGTTTCGTCATTGTGGTGTTTACTCCTCATCTTCTCCTTTAACCAGGATCCATCTATTGACCATTTGTTGGACTCAAAAGGCAGTTAAAACTGGCAGTATTATAATTTTTTAGCAAATTCAAATGCACATGAAAATTATAGATTGTTCAAGCAATCTAATGGTATGATGGAAATTCTTACTAAAAAGTAGCAAGTACTTGAGTTAGACTTCATGGAAATTTGTAATGACAAATTAGACCATACATTAACACAAATGGGTAGTGATTATTATTAACAAGTTGTATGTAGGAACTTGTGAAACTATGAGCTAAACCCCAAGAAAAACATAAAGAACCAAAAATGGGATGTAAAATAAAAGGACTAATAATCATTAGCACAAGAACTTGGATGAGCATCAGCTCTCGGTATTATGCCAAATAGAGCCTATATTTGGATTGATAATGCACTCCCTCAATCACATGCATCAACCTAGCGAAACGTATGCAACAGCTGATTCGAGCTTTCAACAAAAATCATAATAATAAAAATAACAAATGGTCTGTTTTTACATACTGTGCAACATTCATTCGCTTTAGGATTGGCAATTTGCGTTGATTGTAGATAACCTAAATCTTTTTTATTAAACTCCATAAAACATCTCCCAAACATCCGCAATCATATGCTAGTTTACCCGTTACCACTATTCTCCTATCAATTTGGCGCATGCTCAAACCATCTCAGAATAAGCTACATCAATTTATCTTCCATTGCCGTTGTTCACATACATAAATTTATAGTTAATAGATGCTTTCTCTATCTTGATTAGCCGTGTAACAATCTTTAAATCTACAATTTGGCAGCATATATTTATGTTTCCCTAGTTACCACAACAGTCGCATCAACACGGTAAAGCAGCTCTTAATGCTCTGTTCCATGGCTTTTATGATGAATCACTACAATTTTCTATATCTAAAAGGCAACCAAAGCCCCTCTCCATTTAGGTCATTCTGTGCTCCTTCTATTCAGTCAATATTTATTCGAGACACCGAGTAGAACATAATAAATAGAGTATACAAAAGCATCTCATGTAGTAACTGATTTCAGGAATTCAAAAAAATAAAATAAAATCTGCAAAAAAATAAGTGTCATATAACCACCACTCAATGAGATAATTAAAGTAGCTATCTCGTTAAAAAACAATTTACCTAGTCTCTCTAGCATGAGGTAAACAGTCTCTGGATCAGCAATTACAACTGTTCCATGGCTTAATTGGCTTCTAAATGATTGGTAAGAAGATTGTAGTAATCTCTTAGGATCTAAAAGACAAATGCACACTGACAATGACTGAATCAGAACAGATTTTGGCCTTGAATCTTCCAGTGCATTTTGAAATAATCTTCCCACAAAACTGTAGTTTACAGTAAAAATGAGGGTGAGCCAACGATCAAAGAAAAAAAAGAACCATCCTCTCGAAGGATTAAAACATTGAATCAGCTACCTTGGGCTGCAAACCTTCGCTGCAAGTCCGGGAGGAGAATATCTAGTTATTGCACAGAGGACTTCTGCTGCATTAGCATGAACTTCAGCTGAATCCTGTGCAGATCAACGCAAAATAAAAGTTAAGCAGTAAGGCCAGCCTAGTAATTAGAGAAGTTGTGCTTTCTTTATAAAATTTCAGTCTCCACAAAAGTGACACTATTCAACTCGCATAAGTATAGAAATGAAGAGCTCCGTACAGCCATAAGCAGCATATTTTACCAAAGCTTCAACATCATTCAAAAAAATCATTAACATGTGGGACTATGAGCAATATAAGTTACCAAAGCATCTACATCATTCAGCAATATCATTAACCTGATCAAAACTGTTTAGGTCAGCTATATCAATCATCCTCCACCATTCATTCATTCATTTTGAATATTACATGAGTTGGATCTAATTTGCACAAGCGTTTTCAAAAACTTGAAGCAAAAATATTTGTCGGCCTACCCCTTCCGCTAAAATAATCATTTATTAATGTTTTTTTTTTCTAATTTTGCCACACATTCATTTTAATATTCTCATTTCCAAAATATTCAACTTAATAGTCAACAATTTTTTTACTACTAAAAGTCAAATCCATATAACACCAACCTAATTATAATTTTATAAAATTTATTTTCAAATCTTTATGATATCTTCCTACCACGTAGCACTTCTGTTCACATCTCTCGAGTAGAAGCGCAGCGCGTCAACATAAATGAATCCGCTTCGCATCCATAGGATTTCACTCTCCTTGAGGCAGATTGAATTTTAAATTAACCAGATCTCCACTAAGGGTAGTGTCAAGTTTTATTTAGATCTAGGTCTTTACATCCTATGAGCGCAAGTCCTCATAGTTAATTATCCCTTTTAGCATGTGGAAGTAGCCTGGACAATAGGTCTTATAGCTTCCATTGGAAGTAGCCCATAAGTTTAGGTTAAGGGTAGTTCACTGAGAAGCTCCCCTAATATGCAGGTCTTACTGCTTCTCTTGGAAGTAGCCCGGACAACGGGTCTTACAGCTTTCTTTGGAAGTAGCCCATATAACGGGTCTTACAGCCTTCCTTAGAAGTAGCCAACATAGCAGGTCTTACGACTTCCCTTGGAAATAGCCTGAACAACGGGTCTTACGGTTTCCATTGAAAGTAGCCCATAAGTTTGAGAAGTTGGGTTTTATTGCTTTCATTGAAAGTAGCCCATATAGTAGGTCTTATGGCCTCTATTAGAGGTGGCCAAGGCTATCAGGGATGTGTTTTTTATTCTGGGAAAGTTTTCTCTAACACCCTAATTAAAGTAGGACTTGCGGCCTCTATTAGAGGTGGCCTGAGTTATCAATGATTTAGGATTAGGTTATTTTTACCTAGAGATTTTCCCTAAAGTTGGACTAGGTTTAACTTAGGTTAGTTGGGTTTTGGTAGCATACATATAATTTTGCATTTAAGTGAGTCTTATTGTTTCTATTAGAAGTAGCCCGTATAGCGGGTCTTACGGCTCTATTAGAAGTGGTCCATAGTATAGATTTAGATTGGGTCTTACGACTTTGTTTAGGAGTCGCTCGTAGTTTGGATCTGTTGCTCCCCTTAAGAGGCTGTGTGCATTAATTTAATTGGGATTTAACATGCTTTATCTAGTAGTTGTCTATTAGGCTAGCTTTAGAGCAGTTACACGTCCTACCACCCAATATCAGTGCTTTCTACCCTAGCTTTCAGTATTTAATATTATTTTGCTCGTAATAGTGCTCGTAACTTTCCTACTTCAGTAGCCAATCTTTTCCTTTAGTATCATTGTTTGTTCAGTACCGCTTTTTTCTTTCAGTACCAGTTCTACATTAGTACTTGTTTGTTTTACAAGTACTAATTTGTTTTAGTGCACTGAGCTGATATTTTGTTTGTTTACTTGCAGGTATGTTATACTTGCTACAGTTTAGACTTTGGAGGGCTTGGAGAGCTCACAGATAGCTGCAACTGAATCTACTACTGAAAGTCTAAGAATGCTTTGAGAGTTCGTTTGGAGAGTTTTATTTGGATAGCTTTGTTTGGAGAGTTTTGTTGTTTATCTTGTACTTAGGTTGGTTAGTGAAAAAACATGATTTATGTTCTTTTTTAATCAAAGTTTTAATTTTAGCTTGAATAAATTAATTAAAATGAGATTCAATTAATTATTTAATCTTTTAATTTTATTTTAAAGTGCTCAGTTAATTAATTAATGAAATATTTAAATTAATTAATTTTTTATGAAAATTAATTTAAGTTAAATGCTCAGCTAATTTAACTGAAATTGTATCTGAAATTGATTATTTAATTATTTAATTAAAGAAATCTTGAATTGGTTATTTTAAATTCACTTTTAAATTGATTATTTGTTCAATTAATGAACTTTTATTTTTATTTTTAATTTGACTAATTATTAAATAGATTTAATTTTATTTTGTTTAAATAAATTATTTTAATATTAGTTTAAATAAAATCATTTCATTAAATGAATTATTAAATATTTAAAAACTCAAATTACTCTCCAATATCTCCACAGAAAAATTTGGCAATCTCTCAACGGACTTTTAGCAACTTTATTAGGCCATTTCATCAACCTTACGGTTAGGGAGGACACTTTCCCTTTCAATCCGCCCAGCAGAATTAAGTTGAGAATCGAGGGCTTCAGGGGAGCGAATCGACACCGGATTTAGTCTTCGAGCACATGTTTGCAATTCGGTGTTTTCTCGGATATTCGTCAGCCTTTTGATGCAACCTCCTCACAAAGGGAGGTTGGGGAGGCACTTGCCCTTTTAGATCCACTCAGCCTTAATAAATTAATAGCCGAGGGCTTCGGGGGAAGAATCGAACACAGCATGTCTTTGACTCCTCTAATTCGGCGATCGTGACGCCTTTCCTTTTTTCTTATTATTATAATAATAGCAATTATTATTATTAATATATTCAAGTAATTTCTTCTCCTCACTCACACACTAACTGCTTTATAGAGGCGGACTTGTAGTTTAGGAGAAGGCACTGTCGAACATGGAGCGAACAAAGTGATTTGGGTCTGGTATGCAAATGGGAGAAGCCACAGGATCGTCCTATTCGTGTGCAGTCAGCTGAACCGGAGGCATGCGCAGAGAATGCGTCGGGTCTGGACACGGGTCGTGACCTAATCGCGGTTAGGAGGTGCAGTAAGAGGCGCAGTCGCACTCAGGAGCGGACAGAGGATCAGAGTCGGATGGAGGTGAGAGGAAGAGGCGGAATTATAGCCGATTGGTTCGATCGTGTGAGAAGCAGGTGTCGCACAACAGGTTTGGTACTTATGGTGATGTGCGGCCATTTCAACCGTGCAGAACAAAGTCGGTGAGTGCGACAGGATTGTGGGTCACAACTTGGTCACAATTCGATAGAGAGAGGAAGAGGATTCGCAAGGGGTGTCGCGGATGGAAGGTAAGAGCAGAGAGCTCCGGCTTCTGTCCATGCATTCCAATAAACCGACTGAGGTATCTTTCGTTGCTTCTATCCTTATGAGGGAATTACGTGGAGAGAAGTGAGGTTGTGGGTTAGTGGGATCGTGGGTTGTGCCATTGTGGTTAGTTAGAGGTCAACAAATTGACTCCCTACTAATTTATTGTGTGATTTTCACACAATAAATCCGTTGTAATGTCCACATGTATTTTGAAATTTTGGTCTCAGTATTTTAGATTGCTCAAGTAGCACGACACTTAGATTTATGAGCATGAAATTTGGAGGCCCGGTCTTTAGACTTATTGAACCTGTATTTTGACTTTTAGCCTCGATCACTTAGATTGATTACATGAGCTCAAACTTAGGTTTGTGAGCATAAAAGATTAATTATCATGTGTAGATCATTTCGTTAATGAATAATTTCATATATAATTGCCTTTTGTTTCGCAGGAGCATATATATGATAGTTTCATCTTGCAATGCAATATTATATAAAAATTTGTCACCTGATTTATTACAGGGATAGATGAAAAATGCCTCCTATTTTGCAAGAGGATATGTGGATTGTCTCCTTTGTTGCAAGAATATATATATATATATATATTTGCCTCCTATTTTAGAGAAGTAATTTAAAGTTATTTCATGTCTTGCAGAAAATATATGAAAGTCGCTTCTTAGTTTATAGGACTATGCATGAATCATCTCATAAATTATGGGAGAGTATGAAAATTGGCTCCTGCATTGCAGGAGAATGTATGGATGACGTCCTGCTTTGCAAGAGAATATGTACTTTCTGCCTTGCAATAGAATATTAAAATTTTCTCTTGCATTGCAAGAAAGTGTATAATATTGCCTCATATCTTGCAGAAGAATGTATAAAATGGCATTCTTCCTTGCAGGAGAATGTATAAAGATGTCTCCTGCCTTACAGGAGAATATGAAAATTGACTCCGCATTGTAGAAGAATGTATTGACGACATCCTACTTTGCAGGGGAATGTATAGAATTGCTTATTGTATTGCAGGAATATATTAATTGACTCTTGTGCTACAAGAGAATAGAGCAGAGATCTCATGCCTTGCAGGGACATATATAAAATTGACTCTTGCATTGCAGAAGTATATGACTAATGCCTCCTACCTTGCAGAAGAATATAATCTTTTTTTCTGCCTTGCAAGAGGATATATAAATTGTCTCATATTTTTCAGAAGTATATAAAATTGCATTCTACCTTGCATGAGAGGATAGAGATTAAATCCTGCTTTACAAGGATATATAAAAAAAAATTACCTCTTATTTGATAGGAGTATATATGGACTATCTCCTGTATTGCAGAAGAATATAAATTTTAATTCCTGTATAGGGGTGTCAATTATTGACTCGACCCGAAAAATCAGGGTTCGGGTCGACCCGTTTAACAAACGGGTCGGGTTCAGGTTGCAGTTCTTGACCCGTTTAAAAAATCAGGTCGGGTCCGGGTCAACCCGCGAACCCCTTTGACCCGATTTGACCTGAAATATGAAAAACTGTCTTTGTCTGTCGGGTCAACCCGCACACCCCATTCACAAACTTCGCTAAGTTCGCTCGTGCTCCCACTCATTTCCCTACATCGCTACATGCATCTTCCTGCACACAGCTAACGGAATATTGGATCTCCCTCCTAACCCCTACAGCCACAGCCTGCACCATCTCTCCTCTTCATTTGCTTACCAAAGGCAGTCACTAAAGGCCACTACCAGATCTCCCTCTTCGTTTGCTCGCTAACGGTCGTCGCCACGGAAGCCCTCGGCACCAACGTGTACACCCTGCTGCCGCCAACGCGAAGGCCAGAGAGCTAATTGTTTCTCCTCCCCGCTGCCGCCAAGCCCTTTCACGTCGCCACTCACCAACGACGATAAGTTTTGTGAAGCAAGCGGCTTGCTAAAGGCCATCGTCGTCAACGCCCTATGTTGTTCACTGGGTTACAACGCGTGGTGACAGGGACGACTGGACGAGAGGCACTGGCCTTGCCTCATGCAGTTGGAGTTCGGAATCAGCGCGACAGAACTCACGAGGTCGCGATCGCGGTCGGGTTTGTAATCCTCACCTGCATCACGGGTCACGAGTCGGGTCGGGTCAACCCGATGACCCGCACGGGTCGGTCCGGGTTGAAAAACCTGACCCGTTTTTAAAACTTGGTCGGGTTCGGGTTGACCCGTTTAGACTCGGGTCAACTCAGGTTCGACCCGAACCCGACCCGTTGACCCAAATTGACACCCCTATAATCCTATATTGTATGAGTATGTGGCAAATATTTTGTTTTTTATAAGAATAAATAAATTGCCCCATTCCTTACAGGACTATATGGCAATTGTCCCCTGCCTTGCAGGGGTATATAAATAATCTCCTGCCTTGCAGAGGAATATAGCAAAAGTCTCCAGCCTTGCAGGAGTATATGAATTGCCTCCTAGCTTACAGAAGAATATATAAATTGTCTCATATTTTACAAAGAATATGACAAATATCTCCTATATTGTAGAGGCATATAAAGATTGCCTTTTGCCTTACATAAGTATATAAAAATTGTCTCATGTATTAGGAAGATTGTGATAAATGCCTTCTGCATTATAGGGATATAAATAAATTGCCTCCTGTATTATAGGAGAATATGACAAATGTCTCTTTCATTGCAGGGATATATATAAATTGCCCCATGTATTACAGGGAGATATGACAAATGCCTCTTGCATTGCAGAAGTATATAAAATTGCCTCCTTCCTTGCAGGAGGGTATGGCATGTCTCCTTCCTTGCAAGAGAACATATAAAATTACCTCTTACATTACAGAGGAATATATAAATTACCTCTTGTATTACAAGAGTATGAAAATTGCCTTCTGCATTACAAGAGAACGTATAAATTAACTCTTGTAATTCAAGAGTACGTAGAATTTATCTCTTGTCTTGCAGGGGAATGTATACATCGTCTCTTGTTTTACGGGGGATATATACATTGTCTCCTGCATTACAAGGAGATATATATAATATCTCATGCATTTCATGTAATAAATAAAATTGACTCCTGTCTTACAGAAGTATGGAATTTACCTTCTGCTTTGTAGGAGAATAAATTGTCTCCTGTATAACAAAAGCGTGTAGAATTTGTCTCGTACTTTGCAGGAATAAATTATCTCTTGTATTGCAGGGGAATTAAAAAGTTACATCTTGTCTTGTAAGAATATGTATAAATTGTTTCCTGTATCACAGGAGAATTCAAAAGTTACATCCTGCCTTGCAGGAATATATATCAAATGGCCTCTTGTATTACTGAAAGATATATATATTGCCTCCTATCTTATAGGAGAATATATAAAAAATTGCCTCCTGTCATGTAAGAGTTGATTAGAATTGTCTCCTATCTTGCTAGAGTTTATAGAAATTATTTCCTGCCTTGCAGTAAGAGCTTGCCATATCTTACAATGATTTATTGCATCATAAAGGAGTTTTGTAGTCAACCTCTTCCTGTTATAGAGGTTCTCTACTCATACGTGTTGTCTGTTCTTAGATACTCCACATATGTTCTCCATTTTGTGGATTCGAGGTTGCATTTCTACAAATATATACCATCGGGTTACCCTCAAATATATAGATTTTTAATAAGAATGGCGGGGCCTCAGCTTATCATGCTTCTTGACATAGTCTTCTTGTGAAGACTATTGTAGGATTTTTCAAGATGCCTTTCCTCAAAATATGGTCATTGTCCAGCATTCAAGCTCTTCAAATTACGATAACGAGGAAGACTTTTATCACTCCCTCTATATGGTTTCTTTAAAACCTTTTCCTTCTAGAAATTTTATGAAGTCAGGACAACATTTTTATCCACCGACTTCTTCCAACTTCTTTGGAATCTTCTATTCTTCACAGCTTTCAGTAATTTATGCAAGTGAGAAGAAACTAACTCTTCCCTCTTTTGTGACTGTGGTGAGTGACGGGAAGCCTCCCAAAAAACTTCTCTATTTCGCCTTTGGCGTTGTTTCTTTTCACCTATCTTAATGGTTAAAAACCATTGTTGGTGGATACATTTGCCTCCAGCTAAGGCAATGGCTCTTGAATTATAGAGGGTATCTCTGGGCCTTTGGCTCGACGACTAGCATTAACCTTTCCTATGGCCTTTCTATAGATTTTAACACCAGATGTAGAAGCTTCAGCATTGTTCCTTCTAGGAACAAAAACAATCTTCTTGGGAGCTGTGTCCCCATCCAGATTTCGTTCGGTCAAACCCACTACAACCTACTTCAACTTGGGCTCAGATTCCCTTTTTTATTCAGTGCTCAAATTTGCAGATGATACCTTTGAGAATCGTAAAAATACAGCGACTCTTTTGGGAATCCATGCATTGGTGGGAGCAGCGAGCTTCTTACCAGATGAGTGCTTCTTTAGCACCTTCGGGACTACATTTTAGTCAACGGTGGTCTTCTCGTTCAACACAACTCCCTCCTTATCGTCTAGTATGAACTTCTGATAGTTTGGAGAAATTGGACTCTTGATCCCTCCCCCAACTTTATAAACATTATAGTTTTGGCCAGCGGCATCTTCAGCAACTCCTTTCAGAGCTTACAAAGAATTAGAGTCAACCTGACTTCTGTTGTGCGAGAAAATATAAAGTTGTAACAAATAAACATCTATATTTTTTAGATGTCTAAGACTATATATTTCATCCAAAGATGTAGAGAGAAGTAGCCCCTAGCGAAGCCGCCAGAAATTTGTTCACATCTCTTAAGTAAAAGCGCGGCAATTCGGCACAAATGAATCCCGCTTCGGAGCCATAGGATTCCACTCTCTTTGAGGCAGATTGTTGCATTAAGAACCCCATATTCTACAAAGCCTTGTATCATATTTGATCTTAAAGTTTAAGATAAAGTCAACATGCCAACTAAAAGTGGGCTTAACATAGACTATCAATTAGCAAATCATCAAAATGTGGTTTTGATAACTTCGCAAAACCAATTGGTATAATTACTAAAGCAAAATCAAATGAACAGTAATATAAATCAAGGTAAAGAGCAAATTAACACCTTGAAAACTAGTCATTTTCACCCACATGAACCAAAAAATGAAACTAAACAAAATGATGAATCTATTCAGCATTCATTTAAATGCTGCACTATTAGGACGCAAGAAATTCAATGTGGAAGGAATAATAATGATGCCTTATAAGATCTAATTTTTTTGCTAAAGCTTGATTTAAATGTCATTGAACGGGTTACTTTGAGATTAAATATCCTCACAGAAATTTGTAAATTGAGGGGGAAAAAAGGGACAATAAAACTAATGAGGGGACGAATTTGATGCTAAAATTAGTATTCTAAAAAAAATACTTCTATTGCAAATACTTTGCATCATTACGACACCTAAAGCTAAATCTGTTTTTTTTTTTTTTTTTTTAAGTTTATAATCTTTATATATATCTAAAGCATGATGATAAACTTTGCAAACTCATAATTGATAGTGGGATCTCATAAATTTGAAACTTGAAGTAGCTTAAGAAAATAAAACTGCAATTTCAATGGCACAGCAATGCTTCGTATTCATTCCACTTGACATACATTGTGATAAAATCCAGAATAACGTTTTTCATATGGATACCGCGTGTATCATTTTGGGTCGACTTTATATGACCTCGGCTTCACCTATCAGTTGCTTTTGACATAGGCGATATTGTAAACAGTAATTATAAACATCTTAGAAAGCATTCAAAGAAATGTTTTGAATAAAAATCTGCTTGTAGATGAAAAGAAACTAAATAATGCTGCAAAAACATACCGATGAACTGAATTTATCAACAATCAAGTCGAGCACTTCAGTGGCATCTACCCACTGCAATGCGTCCGTATGACTGGAATACATATTTTCATCAGCTCCAATTAAACGAATCAATACCTGTTTCAATATTCATCCGTATATAGAGACTACATATTATTAAGGTCGTGTTCTATGAAGGGTTTTCTGAAATAATGTGCCATTTATTGATCTGATATTCTCGGAAAAATGGTACAGTTTTAAATGCTGACCTCCATCATAGACGTGATGCCAATCAGGTCAACGAGTTGACGGAAAATTTCAGGGTGGCCCTATTTAGTAAAAGATAACAAAGAGTTGCATCAAAATACATAACTATTAATAAGCAGAAAAACAACAGTAACAAATGCTCTCTTTTTTACTAAATTATTTAAAATGACACAGTTGCATTGATGGCTAGAAGATACATTGATATTTGAAGGGATAGTAAAAGAAGGTCACGAGTATAACTACATGTAATTGCTAAAAAAACAGAAAGAAATAAATCTAAAATGAACAATACAACACAAAATCAACCTCCGCTCCACCTAATCAAAAAATTGACTAACCTGAACATAACTCATGAGTTGGGCTGTCCTCCGTGCCATCAAGCATAACACAACCTTTAAGAAAACAACGGTAAATTTCTACTATTTAACTAACAAAATCATTATTTAAAGAACACGGCACAAGTTTGCACAAGGGTAGAATAGATGGAAACCTTGCTGAAGCAACCCGCCAAAAATGTACTATGTGGGTGATCAGGTTTCAAGAAAGAGAACAACAGATTCAACAGCTGTAGAGAAAAAAAATAGTAAACAAGAAGTAAAACGAGGATTTATCCAATCTTGTTTAGCTAATAAAACAGGCATATGTCAATTCAAAGGTTATCTAATAGGCATTATGAAGTCTCCTCTAACCTTCTCATCCTCTACCAAACTCTGTAATATTATATCAACATCACATGTAAAAATTTCGCAAGAAACATAAGGATGCCTGCAATGGTGGAAAACACAGATGGATCTCCATTAAAGAACCATGTACATGAGATTTCATCAAAGAATCAACAAAAATCAGAGCAAAATTTACTTGAAAGTTCGTTTTTTATCTGCTTCATCCGGAGCTGTTTCAATAATATAACGAAGCAGCTGTTCAACTTGAGTCCTCCCACAAAGACTAAAACAGGAAAGGAGAAAATTACAGTAAGATAAGACGTACATAATATAAAACAAACATCAACAAAATAGAATCAATATCGGCTTCACCAAATTAATGTTCCAAACTGTCGCATAATACAATTCTTACTTGCCTTCAGCAATTTGCATCCAGCTTAGAGATATGAATAAATGAATGATCCATTGTGTTTATTCAATTAAATCAAATGTGGCTAAAAATTTATACAAATATAAAAAAGAGACGGTCACATTAATTCTATTTTGTTGTTTTCCTTATTTAGCCATGCAGAGGCTGAGGATAATGATTGCAAACGATAATCACAGCCACCACAAAAGTCAAGAAAGAGTCCAATAACAAAAATGGATTATTCCTCCATGCACAAGAAACTACTACAGCCTTTGAGATCAAATTGTCATGCTATCATGACACTACAAAGAAATCTAAAATACCTGAGTCTGCTAACATTCCAATCTTAGGCCAATCTGATCCTGCTCCAAAAAACCACTAAATCAGATCTAAATTCAACCCAGACCTCACTCAGTATTTTTAATTTCAAAAAAACTAAATTTAATTTTTGATATATTTTGCATTCTAAAACAAATGTTAGGACAATATCTATCAATCAACATTTATAGATTATAAACACCGGGCCACAAAACATACATACAAGCCTGACTACATAAAAAACATAGAATAATTTAAAAAGAATACATGCATTCAAACATCCAATGATCTAAATATATATCCAATATGATTTCAAATTACCTCGTATTGATCCAAGACAGGCTCAGTTCAAGTTCAATTCTAGCCAATCATGGCTCATTAATTTCAATTGAGCTCGATTACCATGTAATCTTCAATGGTTAGCTCAAATTAACAGCCTTATAAAACTCAGAAAAGGGCTAAAAAGGAAAAGAAAACCATGTCAATTGCTGGTATCAAAATTAAAACAATATGTGTGACAACATTCGATGCTTCTCAAGACATCTGGAACATGAAAAAACAGACACATAAGCAAAACCTTCAAAAAAGACATCACATAACAATAATGATCTGCAATAACTCTAGGAAGCCTAACCTTGCTACAACATAAAAGGAATGTTAGCAATTAGCATAAGCAACACAAACACAACGAGGAATACAATTATAGCTCGAAATGACTAACAAGACAGACATGGCAATTTACATGATCCAAAACCTTCAAAAACATTAAGTTAGGTTTGAAGTGGCAATAAAATTCATGATATTCTTCGTAAAGCTTGAGCATACTCATTAATAGTATGGTTCTGTTAACAAGATATTTACAACATTTCACTTGGTAGGCAATACAGCATTTAGTTCGTCCTTGTTCTCTCCATGATACTAAGTTTCGGTGGCTTTGATATAATTTTGAATTGGTTTAGTTGAAATGGATCCGAAAGTTGTTAATATGTTCTGTTTCAAATGGTGTTGGCAGTTTTGGTAAAAACTCAAGAGTTTCAACAGAGTTTTCGGCCAATTTTAAGAGTTTCACTTGAAAATCATAAATTTTGAATGAAATTGCGCTAAAACTCTCAAAAAAGTCATCAAAATTATATTAGAATTCTATCACTAAATTCTTATTAATTTTCATGTGTACTATAAAATAAACATAAATAGATAATCCTCATGATTCACTTACTATCGGGGCCAGCTTGTTCTTCAATTGCAAAATTCACTAGGCTTGTTGATGCGACTAGGTTAGAAATCATTTATGACACTTATACACTTTGCTTCTGTTATTGCAATCCTTCATTCATTGGCAAGCCCTCTTTTTTCTTTCAACGTCAAAATTTATTTTGAAAAAAATTTATGTATCAGTATTACTACCGTTTTAATGGCATCTTTTTCTTTTATAATCGTTGTTGTTCATCCAAAGATGGATGAGAAAATTTTCAATTGACAGCTAGTCTAAAACTCCATTAAAATTCTAATAAAATAAATCCAATTTTAAGATGTCTAAGTACTGGGGAATTCCTTCGAAGCAACACTCCATAACCTAGCCCAACTATGGTAAGAAGCAAGTGAATGCGAGGACATACTTTAAGTGGCACACTACAATTTCTGATTGTGATGAAATATAGAAAATGGTGAGTTAGGAAATCACCTTTAAGTGATGCGCTACGACTTAGGATGATTGCAGTAAAAAGGAAGGGTTTAATTAGAACTAAATTTGAAACTAAATTTTTTGCATAAAAGTTGAGGATTTTGAATCAAAAAATAAGGGAATTTGTGGTCACAAATGATTATTAGAAGAAGAATAAATATAATTTGTTAATAACAACTAATGAAAGGAAGACATATCTAAAAATATTGAGAATGTTATATGTTATTATATATCGGGGTTAACAAAAGGAATGAGAATGAATAATGGTTGCCTAAAAAGTTTAAATAAAAAAATTGTTAAGGTGAATAGGAATAGCAACAGAGTGATTATTACTAAGATAATTATCGGCGAAAACTTATTAATGTGATTGGGGTGTATGCCCCTTAAGTTGGATTATAAAATAGTTTAAAACATTTAATATTACTAAGACATGGATTAAGTACTATAACACATAACTTCAGAAAAACAATTTTTGTTAGAAGTGATCTAAATGGAATATACGTTCTAGTACAATGTGTCATGAGAGGATTCATGGTGGTTATGGAATACGGGATAAATATGCAATGGGTTAAACAATATTTAATTTCATATTAACCATGATCGTGTAATAACACATGCATAATTTAAGAAATGAAAATATCATAAAGTTGCATAAAAGAGTGGATCCACCAAATCACAAATAGACCTTTTCTTTTTGAGATTTTTTTTTTTTTTTTTTATAAGGTGATTCAGGAAAGAGTTTGACTACATGTCATATAATAGTATCCATCGATGTATATCTTAAGAGTATAAAAAAAATTTATTGGCCTTGAATAACAAGACTTGGTTATGGAGTCAAATATGCTTGGTTCCATTAAGAGGTTGTCATAGAAATTTTAGAATAATCTAGAAATACATCACATCGAAAAGAAGACTTGTCAATCTAGTGAGATGTGCAATGGATTATTTAAAAAATAAATGTGCATTTAAACGGTCACAAAAATATATAATTATGACACTTGTAATGATTGAAGAAGAAATGGAAGTCTTAAGAATGCATGAGCTTTGCAAAATAGATATTATGATTTTGATGACTTATATGATATGCATGGTGCGGAAGAAGATGAAAAAATAATCATATATAAAAAGGCTAAAGAAATAGATAAGAGATTTTGATCAAATGAGGAACATTAGAAATGTAGATAATAGGATATTGGTTAAAGATGAAGACATCAAAAAAAATATAAAAATACTACTTTGAGAAGTTTTTAAATTGAACTTCAAATAGGAAATTATTTTGGAAGAACATAATCAATAATATAATGAAATATTATTGATTGATCAAAAAAATTAAGTCAAGCTAGCTCCAAAGAAGATGCATGTACCTAATGCTTTAAACTCATATGAAATACTAGCTCAAAATTGGAGAGTTATGGGATAACACAATGATTTGACAATCAAATATTTTCTATTAAATTTTAAAGACTAAATGGATGTCAAATAATTGGAGAAAAAGAACTTTGGTAATATTTAAAACCGAAGACAATGTTCAAGATCATGTTAATTACATGGGAAACAATTAACATTATGAGTCGTATAACACGAAGCTACGGGAGAAAGTAATAGAAATATAAGCTTAGAAAATTTATGTCAATATTGGAGGAAAAAATAAGTTTCATGTTGCGTAGATATACTATGGAAGTGATTTCTAAGTTAAGGCAACTAATGGGGAAAAGAGAATAAAGAAATGATCGTCATAAGATTTTTAATGATCTTGAAAATGCACAAGAATTGATTTAATTTGAAGTAATGCAAAAATGTGTGTCTCCAAGGTATGTTAATGGTATTAAAGATATTTAAGATATGGAAATGACTAGTATTAAAAATAGTTTTGAAATGATCTACGAGTTTCTAATTATGGTAGGTTTACATCAATAATGAATATCAAATACACATCTTTTTTTTCTTGGTTATATATTTACAAGAGATGTCCAAAGTAAAATGGATGGGTGTATGCTTTTTGCATGCGCATACAACTATAATTGTTGGGACATCCATTAAAATAAGTAGAAAATCAGAATATTAGTGAAATTTTTCAGAAGATATATGACTTACAATTAGTAAAACAATTATTGAGTATATGATATCCAAATTCTGTGGTATGAAAATCAATTAAAATTATTAGAATATAAAGTGATAAATATATGTGTTAGGTAAGTACTTTGGATCTATTATACAAAATAATTATAATCTAGATGAGTATATAACTTACAACAACAACATCAAGCCTTTGTCCCATTACGTGGGGTCGGCTACATGAATCCTTTTTCTCCGTTGTGTTATATTAAAAGTCAAATTCTCATTTGAATCTAATAAAGAAAGATCATTTCTAATATTTTCAAACCAAGTTTTTTTAGGTCTACCTCTACCTCTCTTAATATAGGTCAAATCTAATACCTCTACTTTCCTAATCGGGTCATCGGAAGGTCATCGTTTTATGTGACCAAACCATCTAAAGAGGCTCTCTCTAATCTTATCTTCCACTGGAGCTACTCCAACCTTTTCACTTATATGATCATTTCATAACATGTCTCTAAGGATAAAGTCACTCATCCACCTGAGCATCCTAATCTCTGCAACACTTAATTTAGTAATATGATTCTCTTTTAATGGCCAACATTTTGCACCATAGAGCATTGTAGGTCTCACCACCGTCTTATAGAATTTTCCCTTAAGTTTGAGGGAGACTTTTCTATCACACAAAAAGCCCGATGCATTCTGATGAGTATATAACTTCTAAAGTTAAAAGTCAATAGTTAAAATGGAGAAGTTTCATGAGATTTGAGTGATAGAAGGATAACTTAGAGACTTAAAAGGAAGCTTTGTAAAACCACAGTTGAGTCGACAATTTTGCACAAATGAACATTAGGCAGTAAAAAAGTCATTTATATAAGTTGAGAGTGTCAAACAATGAGAATGCTAAGCTAAATGTGTAGCAAAACTCTAAAGGATTAAGAAATAATTATATTAGACGAACGATTGCGGTGAATTGATGATAAAGATTAAATATTGAAATATGTAGTTTGTACATATACAACAAATGATAGAAAATACACCGAATTTAGAGTAGATAAACTTAGTGTCAAATGAATAGGAATGATGGAAGAGGTTAAATGGAGATATGTTGCTCAAAATGATCCACAAAGAATAAGTTTAACACTTCAGATAAATCTCAATATAACAAATGAAAATTATGATTCATAAGCCAACCCCAAACAACTGATGCATACTGCCAACCCCAAATAATAGCAATAAGGTGGCTAATGATAATGACAATAATGAATATTTTATAAATTCAAACTGAATCCTGAAATTGATGAAACTATCTACAGCCAACCACAAATTATTGTGATAAAATTAATGATAATTATGCTAATGAATATTTTATGATAAAAGTAAATTGAAACCACGTCTAAATCTAAATCCTAAAACCAATGAAACAATCTAAAATAACGATTAAAATTTTTATTATGCAACCAAAATGGATATTGAGCTTTAAAACCTTGGGTCTCTCTATGTTCCTTTGGAAAAGAGTGACTTTTTCGTTAATTAGGCAGCACTATGGCATGAAATAAGGTCCAAAATCACATATGCCAAATAGAAAAGCATAAGATAACAGCTAAATCAGACATTACAAATTAATTAGACGGCTATTCATTGCTTTGCATTCTTGAATTATTTCATCCTCATCTAGCAGCTCTTCCAATGTACAATTCTCCTTGTCCAAGATAGTATCCACCTGAAATTTGCAAACAAAAACTAAATTAGTCAAACAAAAAAGAAATGTATCCATTAGAAATATATACCAAGGTAATGAGACTAATAAAAGGGTCCTGAGCAATATAAACCAATGATCCAAACGTAATATTAAAGAAAGTCATGGCGCCGTTGCAAATTTTCAATTATGGAAGAACTTTTATGCCATCTACTAATCAATCCCAAAAGATTATAGGCTTTTTACAACTGTCGAAACAAGACTTAAAGCGAGACGGGGCGAAAGGATATGTTCCATCCACCGGCAATGGAACAAATCAGAATCACTCATGATAATACATCTATGCATTAGATCATCTTTCAATAAACCAAGCCGGGGACCTAGGAGATAAAGAACAATAGAAACCTATAAAAACAAAAATCCATCAACACAGGACACGCGGTTACCATGTAGGCAGTAGCACGCAACAAATTCAACAGACAAACAACAAACCAGCTAAAACACGCACCGCCTGTCTGAAAGGAAGCTACACTCATAAACAAAAAACCTAACACCGAGGATTACCACGGCAAAACGACTTCAAAACCCACTCCACTAAAACCATGTACGTTTAAAACCCCAAAAAATAATAAAATTCAAACTGCAGCGTTCCCCGCATTCAACAACCAACATATCAACATCACCGTAAGAGAGATCAAAAGGGTAAATTCAAAGAACATATATACAGATAGAACCTTATCCAATAGCTTAGAGACTTACAGGCGATGCCAGGGGCGCCCCAGTCATACGCCAGAACATCTTGACTAAACCAAATCGAAAGATCCCAAAAGCTCACGAGCCTCCGATCTATATTTCAATCATGCGCAACACGCGCTAATGATCCGTCCGGCGCCTGCAACAGCCGTGAAAAACCTAGATTCCGGTTCTTCCAATGCCACCCTCGCCCTCCAATACCATTGGGCTAATCGAAGCCAGGAACCAAAGGAAGATCCCTCCCGAATAAAATGAGAATCAGATCGAGGAATTCGACTAAAAAAGATTGGCGAGACGGCCTATGCGGCGATACCTAAAATCGTGGAATGGAGTTCTAAAGATTAAAATTTTGGACTTCTCTCGGGGTAATTCAAGCATAAATCCACTGCTGAGGAATGAACGCGGTTAAATAGGCCGGTTTGTTGCCGCTAGAATTTAGAACAAAATTTAGCCATGATGCCGGCAAAAAAAAATTGGAACTTTGACTGTATATGCACAAATATGAAATATCTGTCTCCTATCTAATTATTTGGATAAATATATTCGAAAATTCTTCCAAATAAATTTTTTAACAAGGAATGAACGCGGTTAAATAGGCCGGTTTGTTGCCGCTAGAATTTAGAACAAAATTTAGCCATGATGCCGGCAAAAAAAAATTGGAACTTTGACTGTATATGCACAAATATGAAATATCTGTCTCCTATCTAATTATTTGGATAAATATATTCGAAAATTCTTCCAAATAAATATATTATTTAAAAATATGTTAATCATTTATTTGGAGATTTTCGATATATTATCCAAATATAGTGGAGACAATTTTCATATTTGTGCATATACATACAAGTTCCAATTTTTTTTGCCGGCTCATGGCTATTTTGTTCTTTCTAGCGCAACAAACGCGATTTTAACCGCGTTCATCTCACAGTGGATTTATGCTTTGAATTACGAAGAAGTCAAATTTAATCTTTAAATTCCATTCCCGATTTTATTCGACGGCATAGGCCGTCTCGCAATCTTTTTTAGTCGAATCTCGATCTAGTTCATTTTATTCGGAGGGATTCCTTTGGTTCTGGCTTCGATTAGCCAATGGTATTGGAGGGCGAGGGTGGCATTGGAAACGGAATCTAGGTTTTTTCACGGCTGTTGCATGGCGCGGAGGATCATTAGCGCGTGTTGCGCATGATTGAAATATAGATCGGAGGCTCGTGAGCTTTTGGATCTTTCGATTTGGTTTAGTCAAGATGTTCTGCGTATGACTGGGCGCCCTGGCATCGCTGTAAGTCTCTAACTATGGATAAGGTTCTATCTGTATATATGTTCTCTTGATTTTACCCTTTTGATCTCTCTTACGGTGAGTGATATGTTGGTTGTTGAATGCGGGACGCTGCAGTTTGAATTTTAATTTTTTGGGTTTATAACGTAACATGGTTTAGGTGGAGTGGGTTTATGAATTCGTTTGCTACGTATCTCTCGGTGTTAGGTTTTTGTTTATGAGTGTCTTCCTTTCAGACAGGCGGTGCGTGTTTAGCTGGTTTGTTGTTTGTCTGTTGTAATTTGGTTGCGTGCTACTGCCTACATGGTAACCGCGTGTCCTGTGTTGATGGTTTTTGTTTTTATAGGTTTCTATTGTTCTTTATCTCTAGGTCCCCGGCTTGTGATCTATGAAGATGATCTAGTCATGTCTTTCATGGATGATTCTGTTGTTCATTGCCGGGATGGAAAATATCTTTCCCCCGTTCCTTTAGTTGTTCGACAGTTGTAAAAGCATATCTTTTGGGATTGATTAGTAGATGGCATAAAAGTTCTTCATAATTGAAAATTTGCAACGGCGCCATGACTTTCTTTAATATTAGTTTGGATCATGTTTTATATTGCTCAGCCTTTTATTAGTCTATTACCTTGGTAATATTTCTAGATACATTTCTTTTTTGTTTGACTATTTAGTTTTTGTTTGCAAATTTCAGGTGGATACTATCTTGGAAGGGAATTGTACTGGAAGAGCTGTAGATGAGGATGAAATAATTCAGATCAAAGCAATGAATACCGTCTAATAATTTGTAATGCTGATTTAGCTGTTATCTTGATGCTTTTCTTTTGGCATATGTTTTGGACCTTAATTTCATGCCTAGTGCTGGCCAATTACGAAAAGTCACTCTTTTCCAAAGGAACATAGAGGACCCAAGGTTTTAAGTCTAATATCCTTTTGGTTGCATATAATTTTAATCGTAATTTTAGATTGTTTCATTGGTTTTAGGATTTAGATTTAAGTGGTTTCATTTTTTATCATAAATATTATTGCATATTTCATATTTTATCAACATTATTTGTGGTTGGCTGTAGTATAGTTTCATCATTTCAGGATCAGTCTTGAATTTATAAATATTCATTTGTCATTATCATTAGCACCTTATTGCTATTATTTGGGTTGCATGATGCATCAGTTGTTTGTTGCTTATGATCATAATTTTCATTTGTTATTGAGATTTACTGACGAAGTGTTAAACTTATTTTTGTGGATATTTTGAGCAACATATCTCCATTTAACCCTCATCATTCCTATTCATTTGCACTAAGTTTGACTCTCTAAATTCGCTGTTTTTCTATAATTTTATTGTATATGTCAAACTACATATTTCATATTTAATCTTTATCATCAATTCACCGCAATCGTTCGTCTAATATAATTATTTCTTAATCCTTAGAGTTTTGCTACACATTTATGCTTAGCATTCTTCATTGTTGACTCTCATTATCATAAAGACTTTTTTACTGCCAAATGTTCATTTGTGCAAATTGTGACCTAACTGTGGTTTTCAAAGCTTCCTTTTAAGCTCTAAGTTTCCTTCTATCACTCAATCCTCATGAAACTTCTCCATTTAACTATTGCTTTTAACTTTAGAAGTTATATATCATCGATGCATCGGGCTTTTGTGTATAGAAAGCTCCTCACTTAAGGGAAAATTCTATACGGTCGTGTGAGACCTACAATGCTCTATGGTGCAAATTGTTGGCCATTAAAAAGAATATATTACAAAGGTGTTGCAGAGATTAGGATGCTCGGTGGATAATGAGTCTTTACCTTAGAGACACTGTTATGAAATGATCTCATAAGTGAAAAGGTTGGAGTAGCTCAGTGGAAATAAGATTAGAGGAGCCTTTAGATGGTTTGGTCACATAAAACGATGACCTTCGATGACTTTAGGAAAGTAGAGTATTTAGATTGACCTATATGAGAGGTAGAGGTGACTAAAAACTTGTTTGAAATTTAGAAATGATCTTTCTTTATTAGTTCAAATGAGAATTTGACTTTTAATTAAACACGGAGAAAAGAGTTCATGTAGCCGACCCACGTAATGGGACAAGGCTGATGTTGTTGTTGTAAGTTATATACTCATCTAGATTATAATTATTTTGTATAATAGATCCAAAGTATTACTAACACATATATTTATCACTTTATTTTAATAATTTTAATTGATTTTCATACACAGATTTTGATATCATATACTCATAATTGTTTTTACTAATTGTAAGTCATATATCCTAAAAATTTCACTAATATTCTGATTTTCTACTTTTTTATGGATTCCCAACATTTAAGTTGTATGCGCATGCAAAAGATACACCTCCTTTATCTTTGGACATCTCTTGTAAATATACCAAGAAAAAAAGATGTGTATTTGATATTCATTATTGATGTAACCTACTTAATTACGAAACTCGTAGATCATTTCAAAACTATTTTTAATACTAGCATTTCATATCTTAAATATCTTTAATACCATTACATACCTTGGAGCACACATTTTTGCATTACTTCAATTAATCATTCTTGTGCATTTTCAAGATCATTAAAATTTATGCAGATAATTTTTTATTCTCTTTTCCCTTAGTTGCCTTAATTAGAATTCACTTTCAGTAGATCTACGCAACAGAACTATTTTTTTCCTCATATGACATGAATTTTCTAGTTTAATTTCTATTACTTTTCCCGTAGCTTCGTGTTATACGATCTATGTTATTGTTCCCATGTAATTAAATGATCCTTGACCATTGTCTTCGTTTTAAATATTACAAAGTTTTTTTCTCAATTATTTGACGCGCATTTAGTCTTTAAATAATAGAAAATATTTGATTGTCAAATCATTGTGTTATCCCAATCTCCAATTTGAGCTAGTATTTAATATGAGTTTAAAGCATTAGGTCATGCATCTTCTTTGGAGCTAGCTTGACTTAATTTTTTGATCAATCTAATTATTCATTATATTATTGATTATGTCTTCCAAATAATTTCCTATTTGAAGTCAATTTAAAAACTTCTCAACGTCAGTATTTTTATATTTTTTTGATGTCTCATCTTTAACCATATCAATTTCTTTACATTTCTAATGTTCTTTGATCAAATCCTCTATCTATTTCTTTAGTTTTTATATATGATTATTTTTTCATCTTCTTCCGCACCGATGCATATAATCATAATCAAATTATTTGAATAGCTAGTTTTTGCAAACGCTCCAATCTTCTTAGATCATCTCTCAATCATAACAAGATGTATTAATTATAATTTTTGTGTCCGTTAAATGCTACATTAATTTTTTCGAATATCCTGTCACATATCCTAGATTACATGTCTTCTTTCGAATGGTATGTGATTTCTAGATTATTCTAGATTTTTTGACACTCTCTTATGTGATAAAGGCAATTGACTCCATAACCAAGTCTTGTTATTCAGTCGAGGCCAATATTATTTTTTTTACTCTTATAAAGTATTGTAACATCGTGATCTATTATATGACATGTAGTCAACTCTTAAATCACCTTATAAAAAAAAAAAAAAAATCTCTAAGAAAGGTCTCATTTGTGAGTTTGGTGGATCCATCTTTATGCACTTTCATGATAGTTTCATTTCTGAAATTATGATCGTGTTTACAGTATGGTACTACTGAAATTATATTGTTACCATTGCTATTTATCCCCTTCCAACCACCTGAATCCTCTCATGACACATTGTACTGAACGTATTCCATTTAGAATCCTTGTACAAATTGTTTTTTGATTATGTTTATATACTTAATCCATGTCTTTTATTAAATGTTTTAAACATTTTAATATCCAACTTAAGGATAACCCCATCACTTAATAAGTTTTCGCGATATTATTTAGTTATACTCTGTTGCTATTCTATCACCTTAACCTATTTTTTATTTAAACTTTTAGGCACCTATTCATTCTCTTCTTTTGTTAACCCCATATTAATAACATAACATTCCAATTTTTAGATATGTCCTTCCTTTCATTATTGTTATTACAATTATAATTTTTTCTTTTAATCATTTGTGCCCAATCCCTATTTTTTGATTCACCCATTCAACTTTTATGCAAAAAATATGTTTCAAATTTAGTTCATAAACCTTCCTTTTTATGCAATATCCTAATCGTAGGCGCATC